TGTAATTTGTTAGCATCAGAACATGCTTTTATGTTCTAAGTTCTTTTAAATAAAAGAGGCTTATTTAAACCTTTGTCTGATATTGTAGTTACTTTCAGACACAGTGATAATTTGCTTCAAGTCTATTGGGGGGGGGACTATTTAACTTTTACCAGATCAAGTAAACCTCATAGGTACATTGTGGAGAGGTTGACAACTTAGGAAATAAAGCACGCAGAAACTGGCAAGAACATTGGTTTGCATATTTAGACAAATTTCTATTTATTGTTAGAAAAGATGCTTAAAGAGAAGGAAATCGATATAAACTAGTCAAAATATTTACGAAAGCTTGCAGAGACATTAGGTATTTTTGAAAGCAGGAAAGATAAAAAATTAACGCCTTCGTCGGGAATCGAACAGTGGACATCTGGAATACTGACCCAGTTCTCAAAACACTACACCACGAAGGCTCACCAAGAAGGTGGGAGAAAAACCTTATAGGCTTCAAATTAAAATTGTTATTGATAAATATTTTGTTGAGTGTTGTTGTTACAAAACATAAATGTTTTGTAGATTTTAATGCGTAATTATCCTAATATCGTTTAAGAATCAATATCATAAATTACACGTATTTTAAACTGCAAAATTTTAGATATTGATTTTAATAAGCTTTTTTTAACAAATATTGTTAAAATATAAAATTTAATAGTGGCTATGTAAATCCATAATGACTAAGGTTATCTGCTTTTTTTAACAAATATTGTTAAAATATAAAATTTAATGGTGGCTATGTAAATCCATAATGACTAAGGTTATCTAATTACCTAATTTAATTATTTATAACTATCTACTTACCCTTAAAAATTATCTCTACATATTAAAGCGAGTTATTGCCTTTCATTAATACTAACTGTAGTCACAAGGCAAAACAAAAAAATGTGAAAATTCAAGTAAAACTTATTCTTTGTATCTACTGAGACTTAGAATAATACAGGGTGTTTCATAGATCTTGGGACAAACTTGAAGGGGTGGTGGAGCATACTAAAACATGCATTTTTTTATAGGAATGTAGGGTCTAAAGTGACGAGTTAAGGAGAAACACACACACACACACAAAAAAAAAAAAAAAAAAAAAAACACCCGACACGAGAGGAAAATGTGTTTATGTACAAAATCAACGCAAAGTGCTTCTTTGTAGCAATACAGTTCACAATAAATGTTCAAAATTGTGACCACCAGCAGTAGTACGTGCTTGGTAACATCGCAGAAGGGATTCACGAACATTTTGAAAAACGACAGGCATTTTGTGCACGCTTGCAGCCGCAATGGATAGTCGTGCAACGAAGTCGACCAGTGAATAAACGGAAGTCTCGTAAATGATGCTCTACAGATGGCCCCATTTAAAAAAAAATCCAAGCTGAATAAATCTGGCGAACGGGGTGGTCGTCAAATGGGTTCACCACAGCCAATCGATCACCCCAGAAATGCCCCATCCAAGTAATTGTAGACCCGCACATGGTTATGGGCTGGTGCACCATCATGCTGGAACCACATGCGATCACGAACGACAGCCGAGACATCCTGCAGCAAAGCCGGTAGTACCTCTTGCAGAAAAATATGATAACAAGCCATTTGTACGTGCAAGTAAGAGATATGGGTCTATGAGGTAGTTGTTAACAATACCCACCCACACATTCATGGAGAAGCGGGTTTGGAATGCATGTGGACGTGTGTCGTGTGGATTATGAGTTGCCCACGCATGCATGTTTGTTGCTATTGAGGATGCCGTCCTGTGAGAAAGTTGCCTCGTCCGTGAATAGCACATCCGATGGGAAATCTGCCTGCGCCGCACACTGCTGCAAGAACCAATGACAGAAATAAACTCAAAAGAGGGTAATCTGTCTCTTGCAAGATTTCTTGCAAGAATAGTATGGGTGCAAACCATTATGAGGTAGTCGTTAACAATACCCACCCACACATTCATGGAGAAGCGGGTTTGGAATGCATGTGGACATGTGCCGTGTGGATTATGAGTTGCCCACACGTGCATGTTGTTGCTATGGAGGATGCCGTCCTGTGAGAAAGTTGCCTCGTCCGTGAATAGCATATCCGATGGGAAATCCGCCTGCGCCGCACACTGCTGCAAGAACCAATGACAGAAATGAATCTGGGTCAAAGAGGGTAATCTGTCTCTTGCAAGACTTGGACTCTCTGGAAATGGTATGGATGCAAACCATTTTCATGCAAACAGTGGAATGACTCAGCTGCAGACGACGTGCAATAGCTCTTGTACTTGTATGAGGTGATTCACGCACAATGTTCAAGATGGATTCTTCAATGCGGGGTTATCGTGCACTTCTTCTACTCCTAGTGTCGGAGGTGGCTTCAAATGACCCGTTTTTGCATAGAGACCGATGCAACCTCTCGAACATTGTGTGCTTTGGCATACGCCTGTTCGAAAACCGTTCCTGATACGACCATAGCTCTGCTCTGCCGTTCCCATTAGCAGCACCATACATGAGATACATGTCAGCTTTTTCCCTGTGCGCAAACTCACCTATCACGCTTGACATCAGAGTTGCGAATGATCCTCTGATGCATCGGGTCGTGGTTTGTCCGGCTCGCTACCACCCTCTATCGCTGCATTGCCAGCCAGTCACAGCTGTAGTTCCTATTACTGTTAGTGTTCCCTTTTTTGAACATTTATTGTGTATACTGTATTGCTGCAAAGAAGCACTTTGCGTTGATTTTGTACATAAACACATTTTCCTCTCGTGTCATTTTTTTTGTGTTTCTGCCTTAACCCGTCACCCTACATTCCTATACGAAAAAATGTATGTTTTAGTACGCTCCACCACCCCTCCAAGTTTGTCCAATGATCTATGAAACACCGTATATATACAGAACAACTTATGACCTCTGCTGCTTTAATGGCTTATTGGAACCTTAAAGTATATTAACTGGATTACAATCCCTGGAATTATACACGAAGCTACGACACTAACTGTATTATATAGAGCGTAACTAACTTTCAACACTTGCCAGCCGTGCCTACATCAGGCCCTTCAGGTTTGTTCTAATCAGCAGGTCTCTCTCTAAACAAGCAGCAGTGGTGACAACATTCAGTATTTTGGTTATGAATCATGCTGATTATGATCTTATTTCTCATTTTGACATAAAATCTACCTGCTATTTACTAAACCTCTAGATTGACCAAGATATGATAAAATGAGAAGTAAAAAAAATTCAACCTAGAGCTAACTGTTAGTAAAACGTAAATGTCACTTATCTTCTTTCAAATATGACCAACTATTATAAGTGTAAAATATTTAATGCTATTTGATAAATTACATAAAGTTTATTTTATTCTGAAACTTATGAACAGTTATGCTAATTCATGTTTAGTAATAATGCATACTACTTAGGGATCTATATTATTTTTAGCATGATATTACACAAAAGTGAAATTTAGGCATAGAATAATATTAATTGAATTTATTCAGTTCCCATATGCTCATAGGTCCTTAATTTTTTTCATTAATGGTCCTTAAAAGTACTTAATTTCCGTGTGCAGAAATGTGTACGAACCCTGTATAATGCTACAATGGAATTTTGCCAAATGTGTCACCATACTGGCCCATTACTGCGTTTCATGGTATGGAAATCATTTTGATACCAGTCCCACTTTGTGTCTGGTCCTCTAGCCAATTATTGTTACATTTATTGCAAATAGACTAAGCCCAGTGATCATCTGGTATCTTCAGGATGATCCTGAAGCCACTTCCTAACCGGGCAGTGGCTTACCATGCATGATTGTAACTTGGCCGGTGTGTTCACTAAATGCTGACACCTCTATGCAAGTTGACAATCATTCATCAAGACTTTAATGTGACCATTCTAGCAATCTTGATGAAGGTCCATTTCTTCATGATACTTCATGATCTACAAGGGTGTTAGGCCTTCCAGCATTTGTGACAGATAGTGGTCCACATGAGAAAGTAACAGCATCTTCATGCAAATTGGCCATGGTAGCTAGATTAACTTCATCCTCGTATGGATCACAGGATAATGTCATCTATGGGAGGCATCATTTATATTTTAGATAGGTAATTTCATTTTACAGAATACAAAGTTTATTTTGGTATTTGTGCATTAGTGCAACTACTGTAGTAGTTAGACCAAAGTTATGCTGATTCAAAGTCGAACCTTTTTCGACCCTTGAGACAGTAACATATCTTATCTACCTGAACAGACTTATGAGGTAAGGGCATTGACATCATCATGCACATTGACCTTAGTCGAGAAGAGCAAAATTAACCTTGGTAAAAAACCTCCAAATTTTCAGTGTGCAACATGCTCTTGCAACTATGTGCATAACAATTTTTCAGTATTAGTAAGCTTTGTTGTCATTTTCATGTGCATTCCTTTTGCTGTATTCCAAGTATGCATTCCTTTGAATGTAATGTTAAAGGAATCGTCATGAAATTTCGATCTAAAAAAAGGAACAAAAATATACATGTAAATAGGTTTATTAATTGATTTTTGGGCTAAATGCCTAATTAAAATGTAGTCTACATATGTATCAATAATTTTTTCCAACTGTCAGTTATCATTCTTTTTCTTCTGTAAAACATTGTCAAGGTAGTCATGCTAATACCTAAATACCTGTATTTTGAGTAAGGGCCGTTTTTTAATTTCTTTATTAATATAAGACATTTAAAGGGTATTTTTTCAACATATTACTTAATTCTGAAAATACTTTTTGAACATTTTATTTGTACATTTGTTGTAATATGTTACAATAAAAAATGTTTGGAGATTATTCCTATATTACTCCAAGTTATGTGTTTAGATTTTCATTATTGTTCACTGCATTAGTTTCATTATATATTAGATACAACTTTAAAACATTATATTTTGTAGGCAGTTAATTCATTTAAAAGTTGACATTAGCTGATATAGTTCTTATTTATTTATTTTAATTAACTGTTATATTAATAATACATTTCTTTTTAGACATGTTGAGTTTTATGTATGCTGAGAATGGTAGTGCAGAAGATCTGTTTGATTCTGATGTACTTTTAGAACCTATGGATTTGAATAATCCAAAGATAACAGATATGGATCAAGATTTAGTACTTGATTTATTTCAAGGATTAGATCCCGTTTCACTGCAAGAAGACAGTAAATTGTATGATTCACCTCAGCATGCCTTGCGGTTAGAAACACCAGACTTGAGCAATATATCTATTCTTAATCAGCAAACATCATCAACCCTTAAATCTCAGCTTGCTGAAAATGTACAACAAAAATATGAACCTCAGCTTATTCAGCCTCATTCTCAAACACTGCCTTTGCCTACTACTGTCAACCTCATGCAGTATGTTGTCACACCAAATGCACAACCTGCAGTTGCCACAAAACCAGTTCGTAAAGTGGTGGTGCAGTCAACAAATCAAAGGAAGAGAATTTTACCATCTAATGATGTAAATGTTACAAACGACTTAATTAGAATTCTGAAAGAGCAGGAAAAAGAGAAACAGCTACTTCTTCAACAGTTAAGTCAGATGCCTCAGCATAAAGTACAACAGGTAAATTTGATATTTTATGTAGCAAAATTATATGGTTAAATTGATGTTAAAATAGATTTTAATAAATGATGAGTGTGAAAAATTTATATTTGAGCTGAATGTTGATGTACAAAGTTGTTATACCACATTTCCTTCATGTTCCTCCCTTTCTTAAATAATTTTATTGTCTGTAAATCAAGAGAGAACAATTATTTAAGTACTTTAATTTTCAAAGAACATAGTTACAGTACGAATATAACAAATGAAAAGTAGTCATGGATAAACTACTAGTAACTATCACAATATTATGTCTTTAAAAGAAACCTACATTCCAATAAGAATACATAGTAATATTAGCAATACAATATTTGATGGTAATTGAGCGAGCCAGACATGTCGCTCACCAATACCAGGGCTATCTCACATTAGTGAGTCTCAGTTTCAAAGTGGGCCGTTGGAGGAATGAAGAAGATTTGGGGATTATAAAAGACCTGGATTTTCAGCAGTAGGTAAGGCTACAGTGAGCTGGAAAATAAATAATAGAAGTAAGGGAAAATCACATGTTTGGAAAGTTTTTTTAAGTGCAAGAACACCTGTCATGTCCGGGCAGGTTAACAAGGAATCTGCTGAAATAATAAATTCAAGGAAAAATAAAATGAATGAAATCCTAATATAAAAATGTGAGTACAGTCAAAAGTCTTTAATCCGGACGTCCATAATCCGGAATGATCTATAATTCGGACCTCAAAGCTACAAACTTTCTGCACATGCGTAAACGCATTATACGTTTATGTATGTGCATAATGCCTTTATGCATGCAACATATACGTGCTTATGTATGCACGTTTAATGTATAACGGACGGTATAAGCTAAGCTAAAATTATCTAATTATCTATTTCAGTTAATGTTGCAGATTGTGTTTTTCCTTAGTCTTCTAATTGGATCCGGCTTATTATTTTTTTGCAGTTAGACTGTTAGACCAATTTTATAAAAGTGAGCTTGAACTTTCGATTATGTCAAAAAGAATTTCTGATTCTGGAGCTGCCAATGGATCTACAAAGCGAAAGCATGTTTCGATGTCTATCAAGCAAAAAGTGGAATTGTTGCAAAAAATGGATAAAGCCATGAAGAAAGTGACAGAGAGGTTAGTGAAAATGAAAAAATTTCGATTGACAAGTTAGTCGATATTCTCGGCACTTCAGTTGCAGGACTTGAACAGCGGAACTTTGAAACTGAACAAGAAATTATGTCTGTTTATAGAATTAAAGAGAAAGTATTAGCACATAAAACGAAGCAACTTAAACAACTTACACTGAAAGAAATGTTTACTAAAGTAAACAAATAAATATTAAGTTTTTTTTTTTGTAAATTTTGATACCCTTTAGATCGTAATGGCTCTTTATTTCATAAATTACGGTTTCATATTTTTAATTTTATAATTTCTGCATGCCATCTTACCAGATTTAAATTGATGATCTATAATCCGGTAAAACCGATAATCCAGAATCGCCGAAGTCCCAACGAGTCCGGATTAAAGACTTTTGACTGCATAACAAATTGAATAAAAATAATGGGGGGGGGAATTACCAATAAACTAACTCTTGTAGAGAAAAACTGTGTACTGTTGATGATAGAGAAAATTGCATAAAATTTTTAAAGTCATTTAAAGACTTTTGACTGTATAACAAATTGAATAAAAATAATGGGGGGGGGGGAATTACCAATAAACTAACTCTTGTAGAGAAAAACTGTATACTGTTGATGATAGAGAAAATTGCATAAAATTTTTAAAGGTTCAGATCCTAGTGCTAAAAGCTTGGGAGAAAAATAAGCCTGGGAGGTGAAAAATTTAAAGAAAGGTATCAGAATCAAATGAAATAACAATAAATTAAATGAGCAAATTAATAAGGAATAGTATCAAAGATGAAAGAAAGGTGTTTTGGATGATATTCCATAAAGTTAAATAAAACTGCATTTTTATTTGAGCTCCTAATCCATTTAGCCTTTTTAACTCTCACTGGTTAATGATTATGGTCCGAAATAGTTTTTTAAACGTTTTCGTAATCTCTGATATTGTCAATAAAAGATGTTGCTGTACTTTTCCGTTTTGTCGGCGCAAATGATAAAGTCACCAATAATGGTACAACTGATGCTAAATGGAATATCTTTGCAGGTAACGTTTTACACCTCATTTTCAAAACAAGTCGCAGCCATTTCTTATCAGATTGATTGTTTCTTCCAATGCTGGCATACAGTTACATAGAAGTTTTACAAGGTAGTTAAATTTTATGACCTAAGACAATTCGTGATAATTAAGTCAATTAGAATGTAATCACACTTTTCACCCGAAGGCAAAAATATAGAAAAGGCAAAATCAAGTGTTAAATTCACCAATTCTAATTAAAATGCACTAGCAAAGTAAAGCATTGCAGTTTTACATAATTTCTGAGTAAGCTATTCATACAAATTGAAATAATATTTGCATTTAAACTTGTATTCCAAATTAAGATTTAACTTGAAATTAATGTAGATAATTATTGAGAGAATTAAGATTTTTGAGCATAGTTTACATGAGGTTACTTGGGGTCACTGGATATGAACCAGCGAATCAGGAATTTGAACCATGAAAGCCATAGTAAATTCTTAAATTAATGTCTTTTTACAAATTTATTGGCTTTTTACAAAATTTTGAGCCATATTAAAATGTTTATGCCTTCAAAATAAAAAATTCTTAGAATTAACATTTTTATGTGTATACTGTATGCTGTCGGCAACAAAGTCTGCTTGGTGAGATTTGCGCCAGCAAAACGGAAAAGTACTGATGTTGCTCTATCATGGTCATGAGAATATGATATGTATTGAAGATATATAGATAATAGATTGAAGATATATAGAGAATATGATATGTATGTTGCCATCATTTATGACTATCATTGTGGACCTAAACTTTTTCTTTGAAATATTTGCACTCTTCATATGTTACTTATTAAATTTTGTTTTTTTAATATATAGACCAAAAAGCGCTAATTTATACAATTAAATAATTCAAAAAATTTTAGGAGGAAAAGTACGAGCAATAATCAAAGCATTCTCAGTCTGGGGAGTATATTGCATGCAGCAGAATTTCTCAGCCTAAACCCACGATTTTCTGACAATTTTTGACAAAATGTGGTCTGCCATTATCATGATGCAATATAATGTGTTTCTATTGAGCATCACTGCTCTCTTTTCTTTGACTGCTTTGTTTAAATCATCCATTTGCTAACATTATCTTTCTGAATTAAATTTTTGATTAGGTTTCAAAAGCTTGGAATGTATTGTTCCTTGGAATTTCTATAGTATATACACCATTCTTTTATTGGAATTCAAGCTCAGTTTAGAGGTGGCGATGGCAGTTGTCCAGACTTACAGTGTGTTTTTTTCCTGATGATATTTTTGTAGGTACCTTTCGTCAGCAATTATCATCCGGTTCAGGAAGGGTTTGTCTTTGTTCTGAGCAAACGGGACAATTTGATCACATAAATTTTTCTCGCTTAACTCCTGAGGCTTTCTCACTTAACTCTCCTTCTCATTTGGAATATTTTTAAACAAATCCTAGAGTATGATTATGATCCAAAATAGTTTGTTAAACATTTCTGCAATTTCTGATATTGTCAAAAAAAGATCTTGCTCTGTCATTTTTTCCCTTCCAATGGCGGGCACTGGCCTGTAATGCCAGAGGCCAGAAGTAATGGCCATTTTATTTATTGTGGAGGCACCTAATAGATGACCACCATTACCTCCTATGAAGGGACGGACAATTTTACATCCATGCCTTTTTCGGGGTTCGAACCCGGGCCCTTCGGTATTCAGTCAGGCTCCCCTAATAGTCTAGGTGGCTTTTGTTCTAGCATGGTCATGAGAATATCATCATCGATTAAAGATGACTGCCCAGAGCTTATCATCAATGTTGAAATCATTTGCTTCAGAATTTTCAAACCATCTCCTGGAACTTGTCTGAAACTGCAATTCCACCAAAAACTTTCACTAAATTTTGACACATTTTTGTAGCATTTATTCCTTGTAGGAATTCATACAAAATACAGTGCTGTAAATGCACTTTATTGGTAGCTAAGTTTACAGGATAACATCTCACTTAATAATGGTATGAGATACTTTTGTTTCAGTTAATTTAGAAGAGTAATGTGCGTAAATGCATTGATAAAGAGAAACATTCATAAATGTCTCATATGAGCATGTGCATGCACGTTGAAACTTGAAATAGCAGTATCGGACAGAACTTTCCCATAGACTTCATACTTTTTGTCAACATTGTGGTTTGCCAAACTATTTTTGTGATATATTGTCTCATGCCTCATGAATTTGGGTCCTTTGCCTCATGAAAATTCATTTTTTGCTATATTTTAGCAAGGATGCAGATAATTAGGAAGTACTTAATAATTTTATCTACGCGATAAAATTACTTCTGTATGTCAATGAAGCAAAAACATAATAATTCAGAATATTATTGTGTCTTTACGCTTTTGTCACACATTGAAAAAATTAAAAGTGCTTTTGCTGCATGAAACATTTCTAAACCCTCAACAAAGCATTGACCAGTATTGCAAATTGTACTTTTATAAAGCAAAACAGTAAACAGTATTCATAACAATATCAACACTCAAGACATTACAGTCAATTAATTTCATGACATTCTGAAAGTATATCTAGCATAGTCTCAGTATAAGTTTCATTAGTTTAATAAAATACTTTGGTAATATCAGAATTTTTGGTTAATTTTATGATTCACTTTTACAACAAATAGGAGAGCTTCTTGTACCAGGACAGTGATGCATTTTAGAATTACAATTTTACTCAAAAGTTGAGAAGTACCAGAATTAAGCTGCAGCTGAAATTGAGTCCTATTAAAGATGCAGATTTAGTCTAATCAAAAGAATTTTCTTGTGTTGCTTAATTAGAGAAGGGTTAGAAGGAAGAAGTTTATTGTGATCTCTAGTCGAGCAAATGTCTTCTATACTGGTGTGTAAAGTTTAAGGACGAGATGGTCTTTTGAGTATAACGTTGTTCAGAAATGTTCCACATGAACAAAAATCACTGCAAAGGTTTCCAAAGTATGAAAATATGAGACTTGGTAAAACCTTTTACACAAGGAATCAAAATGTAAATAAAAAGGCACTTTATTGGAAAGGTAGCTCCAAGCACAATTAGAGAGAAGACAGAAATGTTCATGTGACAGGTGCTCGGCAATAAAAGTACAGCCTTTTGAAAGGATATGATCACCCCTTACTGTAATGTAGAAATTACAAGGTTGTCATGAAGTTGTTGAGGCATCAAGCCCATTCTTCTTGTAGCACCAGTTTCTGCTATGGAATCGTTCCTGGTCATGGGCTGCCAAGCTCCATGCATAATCTGTGTACTTTAGGTCCAGCTGGCCAATCTATACCTTAAATATCTTCATTTCCCAAGAGCTTTGCGATAGCTACTATACAATGACTTGTCATTCATGAAGAGGTAGTGCAGACACACAATACCTCTAAACAGACTCAGGTGAGGCAATAGTGACTCCATAGATTTGATACAATAGTAGACACCTGTGGCTGAACCTCATTAAAAGATGTGGAGGTCAGTACTCATGCCAATAGGAAACCACCCCAAATGAGAATTGTGACACCTCTGAACAGTCCTTTTCAGTGATGTTAGAGGGGTTGCACGTTCCCTCCTTCCTTCAGATATGTATACGCCTAGAAGCACTTGTCAGACAAAATCGGCTTTCATACATAAAGAGCACCTGATGCCACTCTTATTGGTTCTTGCCACTCTTATTGCCAGTTCTTGTGTTCCTAGCACCACAGAATCCAATGACTCTGATGAGCAGGCCTTAATGGCACACACTGTACTGATCGTGTATATAGAACCCATTCATGCAGCCTCCTGGCCATGATAATATAATATTTGCATTTTCGTGTTCATTTGGTATAACCATGAATGATTCTCAATAAGCCTTCCATTATTTTTTATGAGGAAGGATATAAATTAACTGTTGTTATTGTATTTTTCCCTTGCATTTTGGTTGTGTGTAATTCAGGGAATAAGAAATGACATTTGCGACTGCACGGTGGTTTATTTATAGCTGGTTGAGAGATTTAATATCTGTTAAGTGGGAAAAAGATAATATATGGATGGAAAAACAGTAATATTGGATATGACTGGAAAACAGTAATAGATTGGAACAGTTCTTTTGGAAGTTTGTGTTCAAAGCGCTCTAAACAGAGCTTCCAGTTAAATTGGATGTATAACAAAATAATAGAAATTGATAAATTTATTTTACGAAATGTGAAAACAAAGTGGGTCAAATGTTTGGTCAAACTTGGTGGATTGTGCCAAAAGACTGACAAATGCTTTATTGTAAAAGTTGGAGAAAGATGTGCTGCTTAGAATTCTGCCTAAATTCATGGTTGACAGGCTAATTCATAAGTATTTTCAAATGTTATGGTGGTATAATAATATAGATTAGTTTTTTTCCTTTTCTTTTGGCCAGTTTTTCATACTGTAGAAGAAAGTTGCCAACACTATTTTCTGTATACAGTCAAAAGTCGTTAATTCGGACACCCATAATCCGGAATGATCTATAATTCGGACCTCAAAGCTACGAACTTTCTGCGCATGCGTCGCGTTGACGCATAAGACCTTTACGGCGTAAGTTTACGCGTAAGACCTTTACGGCTGCGAATATACTTGTGCGCGGGCGCAAAATACATTTACGTGTGCGCGTTTAATGTATAATGGACGGTATAAGCTAAGCTAAAATTATCTAATTATCTATTTCAGTTAATGTTGCAGATTGCATTGTTCCTTAATCTTCAAATTGGATCTGGCTTATTATTTTTTGCAGACTGTTAGGCATATCCTTTGTTTACCTAAACTTTAACTTTTGTTTATCTAAACTTTGTTTATCTTTAATGCCGCGCGCGAATTGAATTGGAAGTTGATCTGTCAGCACTAGCCTTATCTTCAGGGCAGATGTTTTTATTTTATTTGGCTTATAATTCCTTACTGAATGTAGTATTTCATCTCGATGTACTCCGTCTTTGATGTGATTTAAATCAAATTCCTCGCCATTATAATTCATTTCCGATAACGAAGAATGTGACAGAGGTTATTGAAAACGAAAAAATTTCGATTAAAAAAATTAGTCGGTAGACACAGCAATTATAGGACTTAAACAGCGGAACTTCGTAACTGAACAAGAAATTATGTCTGTTTATAGAATTAAAGAGGATGTATTATCACATAAAAAACGAAGCAACTTAAACAACTTACATTGAAAGAAATGTTTAATAAAGTAAACAAATAAATATTAAGCTTTTTCTTTTTGTAAATTTTGATACCCTTTAGATCATAATTGTTCTTTATTTCATAAATTACGGTTTCATATTTTTAATTTTGTAATTTCTGCATGTCATCTTACCAGATTTAAACTGATGATCTATAATCCAAAAAAATCGATAATCTGGAATCGCCGAAGTCCGACGAGTCCGGATTAACGACTTTTGACTGTATTTGTATACAGGTCTCATATATTTGTCATCTTCTGTTATGCTTCTGTGATGAATTTTTAAAAAGTTGGTTACTCTGAGCCCATAAAAATCTAATGATATTTTGCTGCTGTAAAGTAGAATAGTCTTAACAGAAGTAATGGTTATACATTTATAATGCTAGATCTGTAATTTAGAAGATTGTGAAAAAGCATAAGCTGCTTGCCAAGGGTAGGTAAGCTCTCAATTCCATACATCAGTCTGCCACAATTTCGTTTGCCTAAAATATTGATCTTTAAATATTGATCTTTTTTTTGTTCACATGTGTATTACTAAGTAAATTAAGTATTGCAAAATACTCAAGTATCATTTTATATATTTGTTTTTTGGATCAGGTAGTGTCGAAAGTCAGCATCTGTTGCATTGCTCATTTGGAGCTCTAGCAAAGTTTATTTATTCTTCATTTAATTGATTTTGATTTTTTTTAAATTCTTACTAGAATGTAAAGAAATGTCAAGGTGCTTTTTCTTTTTTTTTCATATAGCTTCTTTTACAAGCTCAGATCCTGAAAAGTGCAAATGAAAATAAAGTTGTTACATATGCCAATTCAGCACCAATTGTAACTGCTACAGTGTCGCCCAGCACCCAGTGCATAGCACCTGTATCATCACCTCCAATTCAGACGGTTGTAGCAGCTCAAACCGGCACAATATTAACAACTGGTATCCCAGTTTTTCTTGATACTGAGAAATTACCAATTAACAGGTAAAGGGATTTTGTGTATCTGGACTTTGTGTATTTACTAGTCAGATGTCATGAAATTTTAATACTTTTGACATCTTGTCATTTGCCTGCAATAGGATTTTATAAATGTATGTTTTGAGCTATAATTTTTATACAGTTTCAAGACTAAATTAGCATTTTCAGCAGACATGATTATTTCTAAAGTTTTGATTATCTGAATGTATTCTAGAAACATTCATTTCACTGGATTTTCCATACCTTTGATGCATTAAGAAGATATATATATTAATTTTATTTTATTTTGCATTAAGAGTGAGGTACAGGGTATAAAGCTATACCTTTAATAATAAAAATCATGTAAATAAAGGAGATTAACCATTGTATAATGTTGATGAGACTATTAACCATCATGCAAAAAGTGTTAAATGTTGAAATCATTTAGTTTGAAATAAATTCAACTTTCATGATATTCATTCAGTAGTGTATAAGAATCAAGGTAAATAGGCTTTGTTTCATGTAATGTTGTCAAGTGGAATGATAAGATATAACTCAGGGAATGCAGGATGTACAAAAATTGTAGTACTTGCATATTAATGCAATCATCTTGACACAATTTGATAGCTTTTTACAGGTGAAAAGATCTTAAAAAGATCTTCAAACTGCTAGTTGTGAAGTTTAGCAAACATTAATCAATGTATTCCCCCCAAAAAAAAATTAAATATAAATTTGAATTATATATAAGAATTATAGGATGCATTAAAAAATTAAACACATTTTTTGCTGATACAGTCTCATAATTTTTTTTAGCGCTGTTCTTCTTTCATTGTATGCAATGATCTGTTTTCACTTTACAAAATTTAAAAAGAATTTTACATGATATTGCTAATTGGCTTTCTACCAAACTCATCTCATCATTGTTCCCTTTACTGGAGTTCTGGCAAAATATTATATTCCTGCAGAAGTTTTACTGCCGTTTTTTCCATTGCTTGCAAATTCAAAAAGCAACATTTTCATTTAAAGGCAAAATGCATTATGGTTTGTTTTTAAAAATCATTAGAACTTAGAAGTTAAAATATATATGTATGAAAATGGCAAAAAAGTTAACTCAAATGACAAGATTATAAGAATTCTGTTCTTATTCTTTTCTTGCCATCAGTTAGCTATAAAACTGCACATTATTTTACAGAAATTTAACTTTAAGGCCATTTCTTCTCCTATCAATAAAATCCAGAGTTACATACTTATGGAACTCATTCCAGATATGAATTCCTGAGGTATTTACAGGATTTCTTGCCAGTATGATTTAATTAAACTAAGAGAGCCTTAAAATTTCACATTAAAGATTATGAAACATGTGTTAAGAAAAAGGAAAGTAGAAGTCCTCTGTTGCCTAGCATTGTTGGTCTGAAAATCACACTTTCCATTCTTCAGCCAAAATTATTCAAAAAACATCTTCCATTGGTGAATTAGATTTTTTAGAGGTGTTTCATATTAAAAAAAATCTTCTTATTCTAGTTAACGACTCTAATTCCAATCCATCTTTACCTTCAGCCTTTATGGAAATTATGTTTTATTTTTCTTGTTTCATCAATAGAGGTCACTAGTAGCTTAACTCCTGTCCAGCTATTCTTCTTATCACTATATCTTATCTGGTTCATTTGCACTTTGGCAGCTGAGGATGATAGTTGAGTAAAATCTGTAGAGACATTAGGTATTTTTTGGAATCAGGAGAAGTGAACAATGAGCGACGCCTTCACCGGGAATTGAATCACGGATCTCTGGAATATGTGCCCATCATGGAACTCATTCCAGATATGAATTTCTGAGGTATTTACAGGATTTCTTGCCAGTATGATTTAATTAAACTAAGAGAGCCTTAAAATTTCACATTAAAGAACATGAAACATGTGTTAGGAAAAAGGAAAATAGAAGTCCTCTGTTGCCTAGCATTGTTGGTCTGAAAATCACACTTTCCATTCTTCAGCCAAAATTATTCAAAAAACCTCTTCCATTGGTGAATTAGATTTTTTAGAGGTGTTTCACATTAAAAAAATCTTCTTGTTCTAGTTAACGACTCTAATTCCAATCCATCTTTACCTTCAGCCTTTATGGAAATTATGTTTTAGTTTTCTTGTTTTATCAATAGAGGTCACTAGTAGCTTAACTCCTGTCCATCTATTCTTCTTATCACTATATCTTATCTGGTTCATTTGCACTTTGGCAGCTGAGGATGATGGTTGAGTAAAATCTGTTGAGACATAAGGTATTTTTTGGAAGCAGGAGAAGTGAAAAATGAGCGACGCCTTCGCCAGGAATTGAATCACGGATCTCTGGAATACGCGCCCAGCATGCAGACCACTACACCACAAAGGCATCTTAATTACCTTATAAATCCTTGAGACTAGTTGCGTGAAAATTTGCAAATATATTGGGGATTTTTTTTGTTTAAGTTCTAATTTAATAAAAGTGTCTAAACAAAAAGATTATTATGTGCATCGTCCAGAGTTTGCCACATTCTGAAAATATAGCAAATTGATTAAGGTGCTTGCCATAACAAGTGTGTGCCCTAAAATAAAAGCTTGTCCTAATGAAGCTGAAGATGAACTGAAGAAAGAAGAAAACTGAAATTACCTCTGAAGAAAACATGAATTATTTGAGAGAGAAATACTCCTGAACCGAACTGCAATAAAAAAAAAGTACTCCACATTAGTTTTTCAGAAAATATTAAACCCAGAAAAAAAAAAAAAAAAAAAAATTGTGTGTTCGCGCATGCCAATGTGGGATGATTATTTTTCATAAAAAATATCTGGCAAAAATGTAAAGGCAGATAGAGGGAACTGAAATAAATAGATTTTGTAACAATGCATGTGCAGAAATGGTACATTGAGGTTGTTCAGGGTGCTAGTAGAGTTTTAGGTAAAAGTGTTTTGCTGGTTTAAATCATCATTGCCCTTGTAGATTTGGGGTAATATGCATCACTACATGAATGGGAAGCTGATCACTATGCATGTCATATGTGGGACAGAGACAGAAACAGAGCAGCTGCTCAAAGGAGGTTAAATTTGTTTTTCATTAATATACAGGGTGGTGCAGGGAAACGGGAAATTTTGAACATTACATTTGGCAGTTGTTCGAAACTTTGCACAATTGTTGTGAGCGCATTGCCATTTAGTAATCATGGATCGTTGGACTGGTGAGGAACGTGCAGTAGCTGTGAGAGGAACGTGCAGTAGCGAGAGATCCCCAGATCTTAGTGTGTGCGAATTATTCCTGTAGGGATATCTTAAAGGCAAGATATACCGTACATGTCCTGCAATAATCCATGAACTGAAGGAGAACATTGAAAAAGAAATTACTGCCATTCCCCAAGTTTTGCTACATCGCGCATTCCAGAGTTTTCATAACAGGCTGTTAGAGTGTGATTGCCGAATGGGAGCACATCTTTTCGATGTCATCTTTGAAAAGTAAAGAGACACTTTTGGACATTTTGATTGTAAAAACATGAATGGCATGCTGAATACATGCACTTTCGTTAATAAATTACTAGTTTTATGAATTTATTTGTCGAAATGACGTTATTTCGAAATTTCCCTGCGCCACCCTGCATATTGCTACGAATTACTACATAGATAATTTTATTGAAATTACCCGTGAAATTGTTATATTTCTTTTGTATAATGTAATATGAAAAATTACAGGAGCGAAGCTTGCTAAAAAAGTAAGAATATAGGGGTAAGGGTATTTAACATTGATTAAATGGCTATCTCGCTAATTGGCAAGATATCGCCAAGCTGACAGTGGGTTTGGTGACTAATTCTTGTTGTCAAATCGAGAAATTACTTAATTTGGTGAGAAATCGACAAATGCTGCCAAACTTGCCTACACATTGGCGCAGTCCCTATATCACCATAATTAAGTATTGCAATTGAACAATTGTAATTTATTTCTTGTGTAACTGTATTCGGCCCTCCTATGCCTTCCAGTAATTTTGAGAAGCAGAAAGTACTAGAAATATCTCTGTGGCCAGTTGAAAACTATATAAAGTTGGAGAGAGCATCTGCCATAAGTAGTAGTTGTTAGCCGTTAGCTCGAGGAGATTTCCGAGTACTGTCTCTGGTTTAGCTTTGCTCTTTAGTGTGCTTTACATTGCATTGTGTTTAACATTCTTAGAAGTTTGAAGTGTTACTACTGATTGTACTCTGTGATACTGTTAAGATTTCTAGGATAATTTTTGTGGAAAATTCCAGAACTCTGAAGCGTTTCTTTTAATAATAAAATAAAATTTATTAACCTATCACATCAGACCTGTGTGCATTCAATCTATTACGAACCCGTATGCATGCAACAATATACTATATGTAAGATAGAAAACATGTTAATAAAATTACTAACTTTAATTTGCATTAATTCCTTTTTAACCCGACTTTCCATTTTAATTTCATCCACCTTAATTCTTCATTTTAATTTCTTTATTTCCCCTTTCTGTTCTAAAAGTAATTATTGCTTATAATACAGTTTTGTAAGCTTCATCATTTCAAAATTAATGTATATCATATAACTCTTACATAATGCCAATGGCATAGGCACTTATTTAAGGCTGCAGTGAATAACAATTTCAAATTTCTGATCAATACTGAATCAGTTGAAATAAAGCTAAACCCAAATTAAATCATTCCGAATGTGGATTTCATCTTTGACATGCTGCATTCACTGTCTGCTTCTCTGGCTAGCTAGATTTCTGTCACTGCTTTTCTTATTGCAATATTTTAAAAATGTAACATTCTTTAGGAACAGGCATGCATACTCTCCCACTTTATCTATGTTGTCTTAAAAATCTTTATCAAATAAAATAAAGAAATAATAAATTTGGCCATTACTATGACTACTGGTTTATGTATTGGCTATCATGTTAACTATTATGACATCAACATTTAAATGATTTCATTTATATGTATACATATATGTAAAATTTTGCCATTGTCTCAAAATTCGTAATCTCGGGAACATTAATTATTATTATCTCCTTAAATGTTAATCTTTGCCAGTAAAGCATTTTTACATGCATAGTATGTGATCTCATTGTGATGAAAGATGAAAAGGAATTAGCCTTGAAAGTAATTTAATATTATCCGAGTCTCTAAACAATCAGTTTACTCTATGTTAGGTTTCAAAAATTTTGTAATACCTCATTTTATCCAGCTGTGTTGTTGGTGCTGTCCTCGTGCAGATGTTTTTATATATAATTTAAATTTTTGTTTAATCTTTGTGGCAACAGATGTAAAAAAGCTAAATGACTCAAGAATTCATTATTCCTTTAAAATATTAATATGTAAAGAATTCTGCTAGTGCATATAAAAGTCCAAATCTTATTTATTCTATGTCCTTATTTATTTGTGTCAAAGTCAAGTCTTTCCGGGCAGCTATAAAACTGTAATTCAGTCTGTATTCAAGGTAGGCCTTTTGATAATTATTAATTATTGAACTTATCATCAAAGACTATATTTAATGACTGATTTTAAGCTGCAATATAATATACTGATTGTTTCCCCTCAGTTTTGTTAAATAATAGCTTTTATGAATTTTTAAAAATAATTATCAGAAATCTTTTCTCATCCAAATGCATATCAGAGAGCAAGTGATATCAAGCATATCAAGACAACTTAATTATAAAATAAAAATTATCTTATTTGAATATCAGATTTATAAAACTTTTCAAAAGCATATAACTTCATGTAACAAAAGAAAATTACCTATGAAATTTGTTGCAACATGCATGCAATTATTCTCCACTGGGTGATAAATTAACATTTGTTGTTTATTTTTCCTCTTTTTAAAATGATTCTTAAGGACAATGAATGACTAGAGTTATATATGTCTATGCCCCCACCCTTTTTTTAAGAAAAATCTATTATTCTTGAGAGTTTGAAAGAGATATTAGTCTTGAAATTCGATTTTGCATTGTTTCACTTTTTATGAAAGTGTGTTGCTATTAAAAATTGCCTATGAAATCTATCTTTCAAATTTAATCTGTCAGCTGTTGATGGGCAAAGTAAGTTATCTAAAAGGAATAGATGCAGTTCTTAAGAATATCATTTGTTTGCTTTTAAATCTTATTCAGTTAAATAAAAATGCATTTAATTCGTGATGTAGCTAATTAAAAACATTGTTTTTATAGAAATATATTATATATCTTTTTACTGTTTCAAATATACAGAAGATACATAATGTTCCCATGTTAGTCTAAATTCATATTTATCTAGTATATTATAAAATTTTTTATTGTTCTATCTGGGCCGTCTGTATTGATCTCTGGTGTTAAACCATACTGAACTTTAAAGGAGCCCTTTTGGACGAATGTTAAAAATCTAAGCCCTTTCATATTTTAAAAATTGTTTTAACAGTGTTCACCATAATGTGTTTACACACACACACACATATATATATATGTATACACATATATACACATTGTGATAAACACTAAATCTTTTTTAGTTGTTAGTAAAATTATATATATATAATTTTTATTAAAGAAAAGCAAAGGATTGAAAATATTATGTTATTTAATTAAAAGCTTCATTTTCAGTAAAGCTACAAATTTATCTTTCAGATAGGTTAATTATTTTTTTTGTAAAATTATTTTTAATGTTATTAATAACGTTCTCTGAAAGAAAATTGAAATACTTAAATGGTGTTCTTTTTTAGGATCTCTGCAAAGCAACCTGTTATCAAGGGGGAAAAGAGGAATGCACATAATGCTATTGAAAGACGGTATCGTAGCAGCATAAATGATAAAATTATAGAACTGAAAAACATTATTGTAGGCCCTGAGGCAAAGGTAATTAATTTTCCTTGTACATTAAAATGAAAGACTAATCTTATTTCAAACAATCTAGTGTATCTACCTTTTTGCTCTGTGTGGTACTGAAATTATCATGAACTTTATTTTATGAAATCAACTTTACTAAAAAAGTAAATACAGTGGTACCTGTATTTGATGATTTGCAAAAAGATTTTGGAGGATATTCCAGGATACGAGTCTATCTAGATATGAGCTGGCATCCAAGTAATTTTTTTTTTTTTTATTTGAATATGAGTAAAAGTTGGGATACAAGTCCAAACAAGAGGTTTGCAGTAGTTGGCAATGTAAACAAAGCAAAGAGCAAGCTCATTCGTTCAGTTTAGGCGGTTATCTTGTACTGCACTGTAATATTTTGTGCTTGCTTTTATATATTCTTCAGGTGTTTCTGCAATTAGTTTGCCATTTATTGTTGAGATATGTTTATCACAATGGCTCCTAAAAAAGGGATTATGTGAAGAAGCGAATAATGTCCATAGAATTAAAGCATGAAATCATTAATGAACATGAGCAAAATATGCATGTAATTTGCTTAGCCAAGTAATATGATTATAGTACTTCTATGTGCAATATTGAAGCAGGAAGAGGCGATATAGCACCAGCCAAGATTTACAATAATATTGGCATTGCAATAACGTCTAAACAGCAGACTTCTGTAAATGAAAAGATGGAAAAGCTGCTGTTGGTTTGGCTAAATAAGAAGAAACTCAAAGGAAACACCATGACTGAAGAGATCTGCTGTGAGAATGCATGAGTTACATAAGCCAGTTTGCTATAGATAACCCCAGGCTCTTCAAGCAATGAATCTGAAGACATATTCAAGGCAAGTCATGGTTAGTTTGAAAAGTTTAAAAATTGATCTGGAATTCACTGTGTCATCAGGCATGGTGAAGCTGAAAGCTGAAGCATGTAGGCAGTATAGGAGTTTCTTGAAACATCTGTGGCACTGATAGAAGCTGAAGCGTACATCTACTAGTAATGATGGCTGTGATGAGATGGCTGTTCTAGAAAAGAAGAAGAAGATGCCAAGGGGCAAATAATTATGCCAGTCCAATTAATCCATTAAAGACAGGTTATCCTTGTACTGTGTGCAAATGTGAGTGTTAATTTCAAAATAAAGCTTCTGCTTGTACGAGTATGCCATTCAGAAAACTCCAGTATTTAAGGTCCATAAACTTATAAAAGAAAAACTCCAGGTTATGTGGAGGACAAACCCAAAAGTGTAGGTGGGTCACCTGAAAGTTCTTCTTAGAGGGAATCAGCCTGTTTCTTTTATTCTGCTGTTAAATATTATATGGAGGAAAATTACTTCCCCCCCCCCCTGCAAACCCTTCTCATACTCGACAATACTCTTTTGCACCCACTGAACCTTGAAGAGTTCAAATTCACCCAGATTCTCTACCTTCCACCCAGTGCCACCCTTAGCCTACAGTGCATAGACAAGTAATTTCAAATTTATAAATCTCTTAACCAAACAACTGTTCTATTGCTGCTTTGATGTGACAGAGAGCACCAACCTCACCATTTGTGAGTTCTGAAAAGGTCTTTATAATATTGTAATAAGCTGAAGAATTATCTATATGTCATGGTAGGGTATTTCGAAGAGGAGCTTAAAACTCTGCAAGGAAGAAGCTGTAACTTGAGGCTGCGTACAAAAGGGGTTTTAAAGGATCAAAACCACAACTTGTAGAGGAAATGCTGGGAGAGTTTGTATCCATTGGAAAGCTCTTGGGTCTGGAATGAGGGACACATAAACAAACTCATTGAGGATCACTCAGAGGAACTTTACGACCAAGGAATTAAATGAACTACAGAAAGGAGAATGAAATAAATTTCTTTAGACAAATTTCTATTGAAATGCACCTTAAATAAAAATGAGGAAATAATGGAGAAAAAGTAAAAAAAAAAAAAAAAAAAAAAAAAAAAAAAAAAAAAAAAACTAAAGAATAATGAAATTGCTTAAGTAGAATGCAGTAATTAAAGTTTCTAAACTTTGTGGTTCGTTTTCTATGTTGTTTTTAAGTTTTATAAAGTTTTTATTAGATTTATATAAAATACAGTACTTTTTTTCCTTATTTAAAAATATTGTGATAGTTTTTTTCGGGTCTGGAACTGATTAATGGTATTTAAATGTATTTCAGTGTAAAAAATCATTGTAGGGTAGAGGTAGATAGACAAACAGGCTGGGTCACAGAACCAGTTAAACTTGTATGCCAAAGTACCACTGTATAATAATCATATATAACCCTGATAAAATTGATTAAAATTTTGTTTTGTATTGATGCATGAAAATTATATGCATTACTGTACATAAACTATATATGCTTCGTATTGATGCATTACTTATAAATGCCATATGTGTTTTGTATTGATGATGCATGTAAACAATATGCTATTCATGTATTTTTTATTGATGCCATACTGTGTTCTATTATTTGCTTATGAACTTTCAATTAAAAAAAAAGTAAAAATTTATTGATGTAATTATTTTTCTCCAGCTCTCCATCGAAAATTTTCTGAGGATTCTCATGTCCATTATGAAAAATCCATTTTTTAGTAATTAGAAAGCTCACTGTGTATACATTATACGAGACTGAATGGCAAGTAAATTTTATTATAAAGGGAATAAAAGGAAGTTACAAAGCACTAACAACAAAATACTTATATTGAAAAGCAGACTGTGTACATTTTGCAGAATTTCTACACTGAAGATTATATGGATGGCAAAGATTCTTGTATTTGTTCCACTTCATTAGCTAATATTTTCTTTAGAAACCCTCTTGGACTTTATATATGCAGGGTGCATCAGAAAAATGTATACACACTTTGAACTGTCATATAATAAAATTAATTTTCTTACCTACAAGGTTAAATTAATAAGAAAAAGTAATGTTTCCACAAAATGTGGCAATAGAGTCTTCGACTGAGCTGCGCGATCCCGTTAGAGCCAAGAGAGTAACATTGACATATCGTGTGTATGTGTGAGCTTCCAAGAGCGGAAGCATGTTATTAAATGGTACTGTAAGTTTGAGAATGTTGCTGCAGTTCAGAGACAGTGGAGATGTGAGTATGGGACTGATTCATCTTTGTTGTCAACAATTACACGTCTACAAGGAAAAAAAATCGAGATTCATGGAACGGTGTGTGATGGGCAGAAAGGCCGACAAGACAGCCTCGCACGGTTACATGTGGTGAATCCTTAGTTCAGTGCATTAAGTGTTTCAATGCTCACCACAAAAAATCTTCAAGGCAAGCGTCACATGAATGTGGTGTAAGTGCTAGTGGTGCGTGATAATGTACCATGGCAGTAGATAGGATGCAGGGGACCAATAATGTTTCCTGTGTGGTCTCCAAGCCGCTCAATTTTTTTTTCTTATGGGGCCCAGTAAAAAATGAGGTGTATTCTCATAAACAATGTCACGTCAACACAGGCTGGGATCAGATTCAAGCAGTGTACGTAGAAATCCCAATGGACATTATAGTGCCAAGTACAGAATCAGTCAAGATTCATACTGAAAAAAGCATCGAGAAAGGCCAGCATTTTGAACATTTACTTTAAACCCCATTTGGAACATTCTGTTTAACCAGAAAGTACACTTATCTTTCAAATTGGACTATAGCCTTACATTTTCTAGAAATTTAACTTTATAGGTTGGAAAATAAATTTTTCTTAACAGTTCAAAGTGTGTATACATTTTTCTGATGCACCCTGTATAATCATAAAACCCACTGCATGAATATCTGGAATTTACTTCTGAAAGTTTAAATAATTGCCTAGTCACAGCAGAAGAGAAACATTTTAAAGTGAAACGTAAAATTAGCAAAGCAACAACCTTGTGTTTGACGTAAATTTAGTCAAGATTTCAGTTGCTTTCGAGGTCAAACATGTACTGGTCACCCTTCATCAGGAGCAAGACTGGAAAGCAGCAGGCACAGTGGTCATATTATGCCTACCTTCTCATTCACTTTCTTGAGGTATGGTATAATTATGACCGTTGCACTCGCTGCTTTCCTGTCTTGCAGATTCTTTTGCTTCTGATGGAAGAGGGAACTAACTGTACCTGTTTACCCTTGAAATCGATTGAGATGTTGACTAAATCTACACCAAACACACAATGCTGTTGCTTTTCTCATTGTTAACATCTCTAATTAATTTCTTTCTGAGGGCCAAATATTATAGTTGAAAAAAATCCTTTGTTCTAGAGCTGATGCATTTAGTGACAAAATTCATTAAGTAAATAGCACTGAAGTACTACTGAATTAGGGACAGACATGGCTATGCAAATTATGTAGCTCTGTACTGCATTTATCCTGCATTTTATAATATTCATGTAAGGGTGTTGTGGTAACTGCTGCATAGATAGCTAATACTGTGGCTGTTGTTAATCAGTTTTTTCAATTACCAGTATGGGCAAAACTTCTGATTTAGACATGTTCTATCATGGGCAGATAGTAGGTGCTTAACGCATGGGTCATTCAGTGTCCGAAATCATCAGACGGCTAGGATTTTCAAGTTCAACTGTGTCGAAAGTATACCAAGAATACACGGATGGTGGTGGGGAACTAGTGATCAGGCAAATTGTGCAAAGATCAATTAACCTTGAACAAGCATGGTGTGAGATGGCTCAGCCATATTGAACATACCCAGCGAAGCCAAACATTAACTCAAATTACCACCTAGCTGAATCAGAATGTCAGTCATATAGGACTGGCATCTTGATTCAGCTGGGTCACAATTCAGCTGGTGGTGGACACGTAAACAAACCGTGCAACACTTGCTTTACCATATGGACTTTGGAAGCCATAGACCCACGAGAGTATCATTCATCAATACATGCATGCCACTGAGCTGCACATCTTGCCTGGGCCAGAGAACATAGAGATTGGACTCAGAGACAGGACTAGAAATAATTAGCGTGGAGTGATGTTTCATTTCCGACTATTAACACCAACAGGGAGCTGAGAATATGGAGTAAGGCTCATGAAGTCATGGATCCTCCATGCCATGTGCAAGCTGTACAAAGCTATGGCGGCTCAATCATAGTCTGGCATGTTTTCCATTGGCAGTGTTTGAGATCTTTGGTACTTGTAATAACCTCTCTCAATATGATTTGGTACGTAGAGTTGCTGGGCGATCATCTCCATCCATTTATGTTGTCCTGTCATTCACACAGAAATTGAGTATTCCAGCAAGATAACTGCACCTCTCGCAGAATCCGGTTGGCTACTGCCTGGTTGGATGGGCATTCCTCTGACTTCTGCATCATAAACTAGCTACTAGAAGCTTTGACTTAAATTCTACTGAACACCTATGAGGTCATTTGGAAAAAGGTGTGAAATCACGTCACACAATTCACACAATTCCTGAATTATGGACAATTGTATCCGATGTTCGGGAAGCCATTCCCGCAGAATGCTTCTGCAAACTTATTGAATCTATCCCTTGTCATGTGAGGCCAGAGGAGGCCCAACTCTTGATTGACTTGCTATTCTTAATTCAGTGGCGCTTCAGTGTATTTACAATCAGTCTTATTTAAAAATATTGGACAAAACCCTGAATGCCTATAATAAACCATAAATGTAAAATAACCTTAGTTATAGGTGAAGAGGATTTTATACACAATGACTGGTGACTATATATTATATATACAGTCAAAAGTCGTTAATTTGGACACCCATAATCCGGAATGATCTATAATCCGTACCTCAAAGCTACAAACTTTTTGCGCATGCGTCGCATTCATGTTTACGGCGTTTAGGAGTGCGCATAAGACCTTTACGGCTGCGAATATGCATGTGCGCATGCCCGTTTAATGTGTAACGGACGGTAGAAGCTGAGTAAAAATTATCTAATTCAGTTAATGTTGCAGATTGCGTTGTTCCTTAATCTTCGAATTGGATCCGCCTTATTGTTTTTTGCAGACTGTTAGAGCAATTTTATAAAAGTAAGCTTGAACTTTTGATTATGTCAAATAGAATTTACGATATATATTTACTAATATGTAAAGGATCTACAAAGCGAAAGTATGTTTCGAAATCTGAAATCTGTTTATCAATTTCACGCCGCGGCGTGCAATGAATTGGAAGTTCATCTGTCAGCACTATCCTTATCTTCAGGGCAGATGTTTTTATTTTATTTGGCTTATAATTTCTTACTAAATGTAGTATTTCATCTCGATGTACTCCGTCTTTGATAGGATTTAAATCAAGTTCCTCGTCATTATAATTCGCTTTCGATAGTGAAGAAAGTGACCCAGAGGTTATTGAAAACGAAATAATTTCGATTGACAAATTAGTCGGTATTCTCAACGCATCAATTATAGGACTTGAAACAGCGGAACTTTGTTTTAACTAACAAGAAATTATGTCTGTTTAATAGAATTAAAGAGAAAGTATTATCACATGAAACGAAGCAACTCTTAAACAACTTACATTGAAAGAAATGTTTAATAAAGTAAAATAAATATTAAGCTTTTTCTTTTTGTAAATTTTGATACCCTTTAGATCATAATTGTTCTTTATTTCATAAATTACGGTTTCATATTTTTAATTTTGTAATTTCTGCATGTCATCTTACCAGATTTAAACTGATGATCTATAATCCGCAATCGCTGAAGTCCTGACGAGTCCGGATTAACGACTTTTGACTGTATATATATATATATATATATTGCTTTGGCATATCAATAAATGGCTAATTTTTGAACTATGCATAGTATATTAGAGCTGTTTATTGTAATGTTTGCCTTCAGTTTTCTGATGTGGCATTTGGGATTACATCCATAAAGTGAATATGTCTGACATCATTTACTACTGATGTTTTAATCATCAAATGAGATTTTCAATATTTAAATTTGTTGATGATAACTACTGTAGGTCTATGTGCTTCTTTATTTATATACATAAATTTATTTTTGTTTTATGGGTGTAACAGTTGCTCATAAAAAATATTTTATAGCTTAACAAGTCTGCTGTTTTAAGAAAGGCCATTGATTATATTAGGTTTCTGCAAAATGCTAATGCAAAATTAAAGCAAGAAAACTTAGCACTCAAGATGGCTGCACAGAAACAGCGTATGTATTGCATTATTGTGCATTTTTTTAGCTTGCTTAATAAATGTTTTTCCTTTGAATTTTGAACTGAACCTTTTATGTGTTCCAGACCCATATACATGTTCTGAAAAATTCTTTGTCATCACTCTGAAAATCTTTTCTGAGTTATGAACCTATGTAAATATTTGTATACAATCATTCCATGCATGCTGTATACTCCTAATCTCTATGTACCAGTGTTTCCCAAATAGCATAGCAATCCTTTTATATAGTTTAGCAATTTATTCCAACTTGCACACAGATACATTGAAAAGATATATAAACAAAAGAAAGTAATAGAATAATAAAAAATAAATATTTGTAATTCTTAACAATTAATTGACAATTTTAAATATATGAAATTGAATGACAAAGCAAAATTTTTTCACAAGCCTAAAAAATTTGTGTGTGCACTATGTGTTTGATATACTTGCATGCCTAGGTATTTTTGAATTTATCAGTACATGTGTGGTAAACCTTGTCATAGTGACCATTTCTAAACTAGCCAATAATTGTAAGACCATAAGCAAGCATTTCTATTGATGATTATATTACTGTTGTTTGAAATGATGGCTTCCTAACCCAACTAAGGCTATCAAGTATCTATTAAGGTTGCAACCAAAATTATCGTTTTTGATATCAAAATAAAATGTTTTATATACTAATGTACTCTAACAGCAAAACTTTTTTTTTTTTTTTTTTTGTCAAAATGTATTAATGAATTATTTTTATTTGCTAACTTTATACTACCTCAGTATGATGTAGTAGCATTTTATTCGGCAGTTACAATAACACATTTGAAATGGTTGATTACGTTCTACAACTGATTATCCTAATTGTTTTTAATCTTCTGTTTAAATATGCTAATAATATAGCATTTCAACATTCAAGCTACACAAAGACAATTTCTTCTATTTTTGATGTTCTTTTGGTTAGAATCACAAAATGTTTTTCTTAATACTGATAGTTTAAGGCATGTATACTGTAGATTTTTTTTAATGTAAATTTTAGATGATGACATTTAGATTAAGGCATTCCTATAACTTCAGGTTGAGATGATCATAAAAAAAAAGTGTTAAAATCTGGTATATGACTAAAAGTTGTTGCTGTGGCCAAAATTAGGAGGTTTCGTTGGAGTAATAGGCAAATTTCATTTTATGAAATTTTTAAACAGATTGCATTTTCAGAATTATCTATCAAAATTCCCATTTCTTCTTTAATATATGTATATTTTTTCCGTATTTAAAAAAAATTCAGTTTCTGTACTTTAAAAAGTTAAGTTTGATGCATTTTTAAAGCTTTGTCTTATTACATTATTCTCTGCTAATTTTTGTGATTAATTTTATTGATAAAATGCTATATTGCCCTTCTACTTCCATTTTTAATGGGCTTCAAGAACCTTAAATAAAGTCGATCCGTTATATAAATCTATAGTTGCTATCAAAAATAATAATATTTTCAAAGATTACCACATCTACAGAAGACTAGTTATCTGGAATCATGGATGGTCATCTTGCAGAGAAGTTATTGAATTATTTTTAAATAAGGCATTTTTCTGTTAAAGCTATACCATGAAATTTTTAGTATTAAAGTGAGGTATTTTGCCTTCTTTATTTCCATGTGCCAGAGAAACCGGGGTGGGGGGAGACGAGAAAAGGTAGTCGTATTTATTTTATTTCATATGACTAAATAAAATATAAAAATAACAAACCAGATGTTCCACTAAAGCAATCATATGTTATACTAAATAGAAGCCAATAGAATTAAAAATAGCATTTAACATAGCTGAAAATGCTTCTGTTTAAAAATAGATCCAGTGCCATATGAACTCAATCAAATAAGTTGTTATGCAGTGCTTCTTTGGCATTTGATTGTACATCTTTGCACTACCTCACAAGTTTTGAGTAACCTGGGTATGCTACCCAGGTTATGATCAACAAAATGATACAAATGATTGTATCCAACTGCTTGCAAATTGGAAGATTTATTACTCCAGCAGTTGGAAGATATTAAAACTGTTTCATTCATTCCATTCTTCTCTAGTGCAACCATTAAAGTTTGTGTAGAACAAATGGAAACAATGTGAAGTAATATGTTCCACATTCAGTACTTAATCCGCCCAAAACCCACTATGAACATGGCCCACGTTATTTTTTCTTATCATGAAAATGTGTTAAATTTCTTATCATGAAAATGTGTTGCAAATTTTCTGGATCTACAGTAAAGTTAATCAATTCTTTTAATCAGTTTGGGAGTGAAATGCATATCTCTAGAAAGCAGCTAAATCAAACTAGTGCTTAGTGACGAAAAATGCGTGTGGGAGGGGGGACTGGGTGGGTTTGGATTTAACTGAAAAGTGCCATTTCCTGTTTCTTGAAAGGTAGTGTGAGTTATTGGTAATGATGTTGAATGAAACAAATGGTATGATTAAAGCTTTGAGAGTTGAATTTGAATGTTGTATCAATTACAGCTACAATATTTTACATCAAAATTTTAAACATATTGAACCTAAAGATTATTACTGTAATAATTTTGCAGCTTACAGAACTTGCTGAATGGCATTCAGCTCAATACTGAACAGGCTAATTGAAAGAAATTAAAATTCTAAACTTCTAATTAATAACTGTGTGATTGAAAAAAAATGTGACTGTGTGAAAACAAGTGGAAAATTCGCATGAAATTTTGTATTACTGTACTAGGTGTATTCTGGATGTAATTAAAAGTAATGTTACATATAAGGTGTATAACAATGATGTTAAAGGTGAAATGGAGAATGATGCTATTAACCTAAACTTGTCAGTAACACAGTCGGATTTAACTAAAATAATGAGAAAAGTTTAAAGATGAAATACAATAAAAAGAACATTTTTTCAGATAACCTGTTGAATACATTAAAGTTTTTGCATAGTATTTTATTTAGTTTTCAACAAATTTTTCACTGCAGATGTTTGCGGTTCAAAGTGACGTACTCCTAAGTTATTTGGTAATAAAGTAATTTGACTCCTATGTTAGTAATTGAAAGAATATTAATAACTAGAATTAAATGATTTTTTTTAATTAATTTTTATTCTGAAATTCTGTCTCTGCTATAGGCAAGTTCAGGTGAATAATGTCATCCTCCATTTCATGATTATCATAAGTCATAAATGTTATATTATCTTTAGTTACATTCAGAGTATTGCTGATGCAGCACTTTTTTAAAACTATCACACAATCATTTCTGGCCTGTTTTTCTTACAGGTGAGGGCTTAGTGTTCATGTTCTGCTTATTTGATAGGTCTAATTAAATTAAGCTTTAGGCAACAGTATTGCTGGATTTATAAGGTGATTTTAAACTCAGCTGTGATTTCAATTTTGGTTAAATTTTTGTGACAAAATCTTATTCCTCAGTTTGTATGTGGATTAGCTTATATTCAAAATCCCAGTAGAATTGCATAAAAGGTATGGGCAGTATATTCTTTATGCTGTTTTATTTATGTCTAAAATCTAAAAAATACTTTTATCTCAAAATTTTTATATTTAGTCTATGTAGATGTAAAAAACATTTAAGTGTTTCATTTATTTTGTGTGTTATTATGTTACTATATTAAATGAATGTCATTTTAGGACTTGAAGATCTGTTAGATAAGAAACCTGCTATACATCCTAATCTTGCTGATTACACGCCGCCAACTTCAGATATAAGTTCTCCAGAACGCAGTCCATCAAATAGTGTTCCAGAGGTATATTATTCAGACCAAGATTCTCCGCAGTTTACTGGTTCCAATGAATCCCAGACACTTCCACCATACAGTATAACCCTTGACAAAGATGATAGTAGTGACAGCTTTGCAAGTCGTGGAATGTTAGATCACTCTCGTGTAATGTTGTGTATGTGCATGTTTGTTTTCTTGGTCTTTAATCCATTTGCGTATCTTCTGAAAATTGGTCCTCAAAGCTCTAGAGCAATGGATTCATCATCATATACTGGTCGAGCTATTTTGTCAGATGACATTGGATCTGAAGGTAAAATTTTTTTGTTTTTTTTGTTTGTTAAAGTTGTCATATTTGCGAAAGGGGAAGGAGGTTGCAGTGCATTTTACAGTTTAATAGTGAAACACATATGAACAAATAAAAACAATTAATTAAATATTACTTAATTTTGAGTTCTTTGATGAAGTTGCTGAAATGAAGATGTTTAAAAAATGCAGTGTGTGGTCAATAAAAATTTATTTGTAGTTTATAAAGGTGTACCAGGAATTCTGTAGGAAATGACATACATATACTACATTATAGAAAAAAATAGTTTTGTGTGTATCTAGAAGTTTCATGTAAACCAGAATTGTATGTATCTTGTAAATAAATAAATAAAGGAGATAAAATATAATAATATAGAGGAGTATTCTACTAAAGTTATTTTAGGATTTTTTGTAACTTAATTAGAAGAGAAACTCACCATCATAGCAAGGGAAAAAGAGCAATCATAAATTTTGAGTTTTATTCAAAATCTATGCTAGGCTAAAGTTGCTTTTTCAAAACCTATGCCAGGATAAAGATGCTTTTTTGATGAAATTTAAAGATTTTTCTCAGTATTAAGATATACACTATAAAGTTTGAGATCCAGACTCATTGGATCAGTGATTCAGAATTTGCTGCCAAGTGCCTCCCTTATGTTTAAAAAAATTTTGTTTCTCAGAGTCCTCTCCTAAAAATTTTGGCATCTTTTAATTGTGCTATTTGATGCTTCTCTAAATTGTGAAAGTTTTGGCTCCCTTTTAAATTCTTCTGTCCGGTGTAGTCATACTAGTTCTGGTACTGGTCCTGGGCCTCATTTCAAGCATCACTAATGTAACGCTTATGAGTTTCATTTACAAAATTAATTTTTGATATATGGAAAGGAATTTCTGATAAATTTCTCCTCCTTAATCTCAACAGCTCAGCAAAGTTAGTTGAAGTGTGTACTAATTGCCAGCTGTATTTTCAACATAAACTTTTACATGCTGTTTGGTATTCAATTACTTTACATGAGTCATTTCTCCAGCTACAGTATATAGATAGCCATGCAGTGATGAAAGAAAAAATAATAAATAATGCATTGCAGGTTGGCATAGGTGCTAAAGTTAAATAAGGAATTGAGACTCTCCACTTTTATTATGAAAAATTTCCAAATTTGTAAGTGTAAAGCTTAAAAAAAAAATTGCTAATGATCAGGGGTCAGGATTTTAGATCATTTCGGATTTCAGATTCTATACTGTATTATAATCTTTTTACGTAATTCTTTGAAATTATATGGTGAGAATTTTCATACAAATATTTCTACTTTTTTTTAGAAAAAATTATATTTTCATGTAAGGAATTAAAACTATTTTGAATACCTAAATTACATAGCTCTTCAAGACAGTATCAACGCAATTAGAAAACTTTCTAACTCCAGATCTTAGAACCTAAAATCTAGTGAACAACCTTAAAATTAATTAAATTTAATATTTTTGTAAAGTAAATAAAGGTGTTTATTCCTCTAATGCTTTAGTGTTTAATCAAAATATATATAGTTCAGTAATAAATTATTTCCAAAATTCTTAAATCTGAAATGCTATTTCTTTAACAAGGTAATAGTCTGAAAACATATGATCCGCAAAAAAATATCAGTACATAATATTTTCCAAATGCTAGAGATAGCTTAATCCTATGTAACCATTAAAATATAATCATTGAATTCCATAATACAAATATCTCAATCCTCCAAAGAAGAATTATTAACAAATAATAGAACAATCACCAGCTCTCTAAAACATTCAAATTCAATAATTTAATCTAACTGAATACACTATATTTTAATTTAACTAACAATAAAAACCTAATATATTTATAAGCACCATTGTATAAAGTGAAACTGTAGTAACCCATATTTAGCCTTATAAATTTGTAGTACAAAGTCTGTTTTAAATTCCAGTTCAAGTTACATGGATTCCCTAAGGATTATGTATGGTTAGATTTTGAAGACCGCTAATAAAAATCAAATATAAGGTTTGGCAATTAAAGCACATTCATTCAGTTACCTAGATTAGCATAATTGTGAATATAACTGGCTAGCTTATCCCTTCAATCATTGATTTAATCAGTTACTTTCAATTCCTAGCATACAAATTATTTTTTATTGTTGTCATGTTTTTGATGAAGCCTAATCAAGTAGTGCCATGGGCAAAGTTGACAGCCCTAGCAATCTGCAAAATGTTATCATCATAGACTTTTAATCTCATAAACAAGACCCAATTTTTAACAATAAAATAAGGATGGTCAGACAATCAAAAATGTGTGTGGTTGTCGATTCTGTATCTGGACAGTTATTGCAGGTTTTATAGGTTTTTTTTACCTTCCTGTCAAATTTCAAACCTCTGTGATATCCAGTTCTGAGCCTGACTACAGTTTATTTATAAGTCAATCTCCATTGATGTAATGGAGCTGGCACTTTATTGGAATTACAGTGGTTGCCAAAATTGTGGACACTTTTGGAAATTTTTATGTTTTTGAACTTTGTATGCTTATAGAAAACATTACGTTTTACAAAATGCAAACTTGTATGTATCATTTTAAAGAGAATTTATTACTGAATTCAATACAAATCACAAAATTCAATTATTTGCAATACAAAAAAAGTTAAACGATAATAGTTATCAATATACATTAGATAGTGATGATTGCAGTGATTTATCAGTACTTAGTAGGGTACCCTTTATTTTTGATTACAGCTTCACAACAATGTTTCATTGAACTGACAAGACTTTTACGCTCTTCTTTCGTTATTACATGATGCTAGGAAACAATTATAGCCTCAATTAGTTCCCTTTTATTTGATGGGCGCCTCATTCAGACAAGAGTTTTCAAACAGTGCCACAAATTTTCGATAGGATTGAGGTCAGGACTGTTTCCTGGCCATGACAACAATTTAATGCTCTTTGTACGAAACCACTCTTTCAATATTTTGGCCGTGTGGCAAGGAGCAGAATCCTGCTGAAAAATAAATGAAGCATTGTTGGGAAAGAGATCTCTGATGGAAGGTAGAAGTTTTGGTTCTAGAAAAGTGTCAATGTATTTTCTGGCATTCAGTGTCCCATCGATGACATGAAGGTGACCAATACCATCTGCTGACATGCATGACCAAATCATAACACTAACTGGGTTCTTCACAGTTGCTTGAATGCAGTCAGGATGTAGCTCTTCTCCTATTCTACGTCTTACATGTTTTCGCCCATCACTACCGAATAACGATATCTTAGTTTCATCACTTTATATAATTTGTGACCACTGATCATCTGTCCAATTGATGTGTTCCTTTGCCCACTGTAGTCTTTTTTTTTCGTTGCTGAAAATTAAGATAAGGCTTTTTTCGTGGAATTCTACCTCTCAGTCTAACATCTGTTAATCTTCTCCTGATTGTTCTTGAGCTGACAGAAACACTAGCATCATTCAAATCACTTCTAATGGCCGCTGATGACATTTTTCTATCTTGGAGATATAGTCTTTTTATTCTCCTGTCTTCAATAGATGTGGTGCACCTTTTTCGGCCTTTTCCTTCTTGGTTTTTTATTGAATTTGTCTCCTGATATCGTAAACACAAAACTTTCGGACTCCAGATGTAGTCACTGAACCACCCCACCTGTCTTGCAATTTCAGCATAGGAAAGACCACTTTCTCGTAACACAATAATATTACATCTCTTTCTAGGTGTCCAATCTACTCTTTTATTTGATGTCATTGCTTCTTGACTAAATATTAAAAATTTTTACAAAAATTCCTACTTGTAATTGCAGTGTATAAGAAGCAGGTCCTCCTTCTACAGAACAAAGCAAAATAATGAATTGTTTCAAGTGTAAACATGATGTCAGCTTCTACTGGCAGTTACTAACATTTGATTGGTTCTCAGAACAAGAACAGTGATTGGCCAGGAAAGCTAGACATTACAAACCACTTCATAACTGTGTTGTTTATATTAAAATACATATAACATTTTTTGTATTGTAAATAATTGAATTTTGTGTTTTGTATTGAATTCAATAATAAATTCTCTTTAAAATGATATATTCAAGTTTGCATTTTGCAAAACGTAACATTTTCTATAAGCATACAAAGTTTAAAAACATAAAAATTTCCAAAAGTGTCCACAATTTTGGCCACCACTGTAGGTGTTTCCTCAATCTGTATTTGGCCACAGCATTTGTGTCTAGAGGGTGACGTTTATGTTGCCAAAAAAGGCTCTGAATCTCAACTTGCCAAAACTAGTTGAGATTTCAAGCCTTTTTTGCCAGTTTATCTGCATTCTTGTCATCGATGATGTTGATATGTGCTGGCAATCATTAAAAAATTGAGACCTTATCTTACTTTTGAACCTTGTTTAGGATTCCGTTGGTGATCACGGAGCTTCCATCTAGGATTGCCAGTAGAGCGGCCTTTGAGTCACAGAAGACAGTGAGTTTTTACTGCTTGCTCAAAAATGGAAAGGACCTCAGCTATACATGTCAAGTGCCTCAGCTATTTCCAGAAACTCACAAGTGAAGTTAGAGAGTATGGCTCCAGTGCCAGTTTTTATGTTAATAAATAGTACCACCTGGGGTAATCAGAAATACTGCAGAACCTCCATTAGTGATTGTCTGATCAGATGAATCATCTGTATAAGCATGTACAAAGTCCTCGTTTGGATACTGTTCAACAGTCCTTATCCCTTTCTCTTTAATGGTGTCAATTACTTTTTCATTCCATGGCTGTAGTAGGTTGAATACTATTTTAGAGTTTGTAGGAAGCCTGAAGAAAATGTCAGCTCTTGAAAGATGGAAAATGTGTAGTGATCAAGGCCAAGAACTGCTGTAATATCTTTGTCAAACTGCGTAGGAGATGATCTTTTTAGTTTAGTTACAGTTCTAGTTTTCAAAGATTTTCCTAATGAGGTGTTCTGGTGTATGTACTCTTATCTTGTTTGTAAATTTTATTATACTGTTTTCTTTTCCTGAGGCTTTTGAGGCCACATTCCTGAATCACTTTTAAATTATTGGTAGAAGATCCTGCATTCGTAATAATTTTTGCATCCTCTGCCTGGACACTTTCTAATTTCTTCAAGACAGTCCTGGAAGCATGAGCCCAAATAGGAGAAGCATATTACATGATCAGTTTCAGTGAGGTGTATGTTGTTCTAAGTGTCTCAGGAAAAGCTCCCAATTTGTTATGCAAAGACTTTTAACATGTTGAGCGTGGCGCTGAATTTGGTGTCTTTTCTGTTCAGCTGGCAGCGAGCTAAGCCATGTTTTTGTTTAGAATGTTTCAATGCATTTCATTAAAACTAAACTTGATCACATTTCATTGAGACTATATTTATTTGACTCCAGCCAAACGAAAATTCTAGTGTCGGTCACACGGAAAGTTCACTGCTGCTCCCCAGGGACCGGCGCTGCGCTCAACGTGTTAAGGGCTCTTAAGCTTTTAAAAGTTTTGTCAGCACAGGTTTTGACATGCTCACTGAATATTTAATTTTGGATTTAAAATGATTCGTTAGTATTTTGGGCATGATGTCTTCATTGTGAATTTGCCTTCAATGCATAATTTTGGATTCATCAGATTTTCCTCAGAGTCTGGCACGTCCTAGCGCGGCGTGGTTCTAGTAACCCGGGGTTCTCCCCCGGGGTCGCTGGGTAATGTCCCGCTGCGACGGGCTCGCCCAAGCGACTGGTAGGAGCATTAGACGACCTGTGCTGCCTGGTGTCATATCCAGGTGGTGCGCCGCTCTCTTGGAGGGTAATAATGGAGGTTGAACTTCCATGATGTGCCCAAAGGGGGAGTGGACCCGCAGTGAGATTGAGTTCTCGGAGCGGGGAAGCCCAAACTTATCTTATGCCTTAGGCAGCTTGCCAGATTTCCATTATGTGTTAAATATGGTCAACAAGCATCGTCTTGCTTTTTCACAAAGTTGTTTAACTATTTGTCCAAAAATAAAATCACTTCTTAGTGATTTATTACCTTTAATAGTGTTGATCGCAATATGTATTCTTCTAAAGTGATGTGTTTTATAAACAGGCCATCATGTTTGTATCCTCTTGCCTTTAGGAGCAATTTTTTGGCAGGTCTTTTTATTTTCTTCTTCTTTCTGATAGTCAATTTTACCAACGTTAAAGAAGTGCATCACAAGTTCTTTGGCCACTTTTTCATTAGTACGTACTGTTGATCCAGCTGTATCAAGGATGCTGGAAGATTGGGCAGTAATTTGATTGAAAGACAAATTATAATTCCATAGTTAACAAAAAACAAACCCTCTGAGCTCAAATCTTAGCTTTTTTGTAACCATAAGTTATCAGTAAAATGATAGTTCAGATACGTTCTTCTCTTGATATAAACATTCTTGTAATTATGAAAAAACAGTGATACCTTTCTGCTTATATAACACCCATCAATGCCCAAATGGTAAAGTAGCTGAACACTAGTAGTTTGGTTTGGGGCTCAAATCCTGGCAAATGAGCTGGCTGCATGGGTGTTTTCATGGTTTTTCCCTTGTGTAATATGTATACGAGAAGTCCTCCATGAAGGCATCCCTCTTCTTAGGCAGATAGCCTGAGTGCTTTGCTATAATTAAATAAATATATAATCTACTTATAGGATGCAGAAATTTCAATCGACTATTAGTTTAATGTACTAATATACATTTAACTTACATTACAAATTTATAAATGATTATTTTAAGCTACTATCAATGGTATTAATTTTAAAAGTGCCATTAACTTTTTCCATTTACTTCACAACTTAGATTGCATCATCAACATAAGAATAGGAAAATAATGCAGTAAGATAAAATTGATGCACAAAAGGAAAGTCCAATTCTTCATATGGCCTTCTTCAAATAACCTATAATAGACACTGTCTCTAAGTAGCCTGAGAAATTAGCAGAGACCTGTATACAAGCCACCAGTTATGATGCTTTTCCTTTAGAGGAACTTGGACAAACCAAAGATAACAATTTTCCCTTAATTACATGTGATGAAGAATATGCAAAAACCACAGATAGATGTATAGAACATCATTGTATTTCCTCGCCTGATGATTAATGATGAAGGGCAAATTTGCAGATGGATTAACAGAACATCATTTTGTTTGACAAGAGCCAATTTAAAGCACCGAGTCTGAACAGCACAGGTTATGACAACAATAGCTGGATAAAGATGAGATTCTCAGTGGGGCACAGGGGTCTTAAAATCAATATTTGTGCAGAGGTACTAAGAGGAGAATCAAAGTTATTTACTTATTTCTCTCTCTACTAAGATACCTTTCTTAACTGCTTAGTTAGTGCTTTCCATCTCACAGACAAGGGGAGCCAATGGCAAGACCATATTCTTTCTCTTTTCTTCATAGCAAAAACAATTCTGAATCTCTTTGTTCTTGCAACCCTTAAAGAAAACCCAGTAACTCTATTCCCTGTGAATAATTGGTTCCTGTAGAAAATTTAAATTTTTCAATAGCCAATAACTTAATTTTTAAGCCTCCTTTAACTAGCCAAAGCAGAGATAGTAAAATATGTGAATTTAATTCTACGGGAACAAATTTAAAACCTCTTGTTAGCCTCCGAAGTCAAGGAATTTTTTCACAGAAAGGAAATCCATTATCCACTCTTTAATTATCAGAAAAACTCTTTCTCATAAGTCAGGTAAGATCCTCCTCCCCTGTGCATTAAAACTTTCATTCTGACCATCTTTATAAAGCACTTATCTCCTTTTGTAGACGTAATGGGCAAGAACCTAACAACTTATTGTCAAGGCAAAAATCAGTTTTCTCACGTGATTACAGCTAAGCCTGACAATCTATGGGGGGGAGGGACCTTTTAATCTCCAGCGTGCAGAACTGTGCATCGGAAATTTTAAAGATAGGCTCATTTTAAAACTATTTTGCGAGACTGCTATTGAACTCAAATTTATGGTTTAAGTGCAAAGAAGATGATATTTTATAAATAAAGGTAACACACGAAATGTAAAAAAAAAACGCCCCTTTTGGACATAATTTAAAATCTGAAACCATTCCTTTTTTTTTAATCGGTTATTTAGTGTATATGAAAGTCAGTCTTATTAGTATCATTCAACAATACTGACAAAAGGAAAATTTATCTGCTTAATTTCTTTCCTTGACACAGCTGTTGCTGCATTTGTATAATTATTCGCATTTTTCATTATGTGTTGCAATAGATATTTAGCTACTGTTTGAAATTCCAGCAGCCTATGATTTTAATTATTTGGAAATGTAAGAAAGGAAAATAAAGTAGTCTGAGGAGTAGTAATAGTAAGCATTTTATGCAGTGTAAATATCTTTCTTCATTTTTTAATATACTTTTAAAACTTTGATTATTATTTGTTGTATGCCTAAAATTGTGATGAGTGTTTTTTCCTTTGAGGGAGAGCAGAGGTGTTAGGAATTGCTGAAACATTTATTCTATTATTGTTGTTTAGAATATTTCTTTTTAAATTAAAAATAAAGCTTATAGCTATGAAAAACATGTTTTGTAAATTAAGTACTCACCTATTTTTTAACTGTAGGGAGATGGACGAAAAGCTTACTATCAAGTGCATTCGCATGGAGTTTGAATTTAGTTTTCATTGCTTTGTGTTTGCTGAGATTATTTGTTTATGGTGAACCAGTTCTGAAAAAGGATTCCAATAACTATACCGTATTCTGGCGGCACAGAAAACAAGCAGATTTATCGTTTGAAGAAGTAAGTACTTATTAGTATCATGTTTGTATAGTTGGGCATTTTTAATTTTTTGAGAGGGGAAATATTCAAATTATTGGCTGTCTATGTAATATATTATAGATTCTTGCAGTTCAAGATAAGATAGACTAATTGGTGATATGCAGAATTTTATTGAATTACTACATTCTGGAGGTTACTGAATTATTATTACATATGATTAATTTCCTCTTGCTACTTGACATCTCCATTCCTCTTCCTCTCTCCCCAAAAAGAACTCTCTTGAATGTTCCAAAGAATTTTCTCATGGAAAGACTGAACATTTAAATACATAGGAATTCAAAGCAGTATCTTTGTAATGGCCTAATACAGTGTATGGTAAACAGACAGAAGAGGAGAACCATCATGAACAAGTTGGAGCACTAGGATAGTTGAGATATCACACTGCTATAGAGTAAACCTCTGATTTTCACCAATAAATTGACTTCATTTATTATTTGAATGTAATTGGATATTTTAAAAGTTTTAAGTGGATAAATTACTCTGATGCTTTGAGAGCATAATGATTTCTTTTCAAATAAAATTTCTTCTGAATAATCCCCTCTTCTTGGGTGCTCTTTGATCGTTTTTGTGCGCTTGTGAGTCAATTGTTTATTATATTTAACGTGAAAACAATTATTTTGCAATGCCTCCCAAGAATATTGTTGCCTCAGATAGTGCTGCAAAGAAAAATACGAAAGCCATGGGCGTTGAAGTTAAGAAAGAAATCACAGATAAATAAGAATGGTGTAAGAGTGATGGAATTGAGGAAGACTTATGACAACAACAATTTGCACTATTCTGAAGAAGCAGGAAGAAATTAAGAAACTTGACATAGCCAAAGGAGTTATCGTTACTTCCAAGCACCATCCAAAACTCCTAGAAGATGCTGAGAAGCTGTTGTTGTTGTGGATTAACAAGAAACGGTTAAAAGGTCGGTGTCAGTAGCTATCATAAAGGTAAACTATGGTTATATATAGTAGCTTACCTTTATGAGTTTATGGTTTAGAACTATACCAATATTATTTATTAGAAAAATTGGCTTTTAGGTTGATATTTTTGGGGCTGCTGAAAGGATTAATTGGATTTCCATTATTTTTAATCAAGAAGTTTTTTTCTAGCTACAAGAAATTCGCTATACAAGCTCAATGCTAGAACGAATTAAATTCATATCTTGAGATTCCACTGTATATATATATATATTCCCAAATCAGTACACACGCACACAAGTGTGTGTGTATGATGATTTGGGAATATCCACAGTAGATATTGATTGCAGATAGATGTGTAAAGAAGAAGTTGCAGATGTGGCTAGATTTTAAATATTCGTTTTTCATCGACAAACAGTTTTATTAGCTAATACAAGTAAATTGGTGCAATAAGTGCTTGTTCTTGAAGAACTATATCAGTGCTCTAAAATTTTGAGATGTACTTTAAAGAGCATAGCAGGACAGAAGTAAGTAGGAAAATACAACATATCAAAAATGGTTATTTTGAGTTTGTTTGCAAAATCTTTTGCATCGTTATTGTTGTGTAAGAATCATATGATATGGGATTAATACTGTAACTGAGAGAGGTTTAGTATAAGCCTCTCTGAATTATGGCATTATTTAAAATTTTACAACAGAAATGGAAAATACCCAAATTAAAATAGAGATTTAAAGGACTGTTCCAAATTAAAGTTAAAACTTTACATTGTTTTTTACACACTTTTATCTAATGTATATATAAAAACTGTTCATCTTAAAATTCTAATATAGTAATGTTATGAAAAGATGCATTGTTGTAAAATTTCCATAAGCTCCCTCTTTTTTAAAGAAAGGGAACAATAATGTTTTTATGATTTGTATTGTAATTACAGGAGGATTATCCGAATTCTGTTTCTCATCTAAAGCTGTGTCTGACTGCTTTAGGGAGGCCATTTCCATGCAATACAATTGAATTAGTGATTGGAGTTATTTGGCAGTTCATTAGGCAGTTGAGTCATTTTACTGGCATTCAGCGAGCAATCAATGCTTTTCTTGTTCCAAAAGGTCATTCATTGCTGATGGAAAGTTCTAGAGATGCAGCATTAGTGTATCAGAAACTGCAACAGTTACATCTTCTTGGTATATGTCTTAGATGTGTATTCTAAATTCTCTATAATTGAACTTTTATTTTCTTATCTATAAGTTTTTCTTGTAAATTTATTACTTACATCTAATATGCTGCTGCCTATATGTAATGTATGTAATACAGAAAGACAAATTATAAAACTTAACTGTCTGGATATAAGGCTTTAGTAAAATAAAGTAATTAATATATACTTATGTAAGCATAAAGGAACTCTTTCATGATGTGAATTTCCTTCGTGCTAAGTCATTATACACATTATTACTGCTGTTACTGTGTGTTTTATGTGAAAATATATGTATAACAGTAATAATTATAAACATGCAAATATGGAATGCAATACCTATATTGGACTGAATTAAAAGAAAGCTTTGTGTAAATGTTGAAAACAAATAATATGCAGTGATAAGTCTCAAAATTCGTATATTTCCACTTGATTCAAAATATTAGAGATTAAACATAAATCTACATGTTATAGTAGTCCTATATACAAACTTTCAACGTTCTGAGGCTACTCGTTTTTGAGTTATGCGAGATACGTACGTACATACGTTCGTACAGACACCACGAAAAATTCTCTTCAGAATATATTTTAAAGCAGTTTTATAATATTTTTGGAGGAAAAAGTCTTATTGTGTCCTTATGTACAGATATCATGCAAAAACGTCATTAAATTGCATTCGAAAGCGGTCAAAATGAATATTTTCGTTGAAAAATGCTGCCTGAAACTTTTCGCAATTACATTACTTCCTTTTTACTTCCTACAAGGAAGTAATAAGATAAAATACTAAAATTAATGCGTGACAAGTGCATTTCAGAATCATATTAACCATTAATAGCAAGTGAATTGATGAGTCTTTTGTATGCACTCATCACTTCATATGTTTTAATTTTTATCCACATGTATACACAGTATTACTGTGATTATTCTATGTTTGCATGTTTCCATGAATTGTCAGCTGGCTGTGGATGAATGAAACTCGTATTATTAAGTACTTTCTTTATGCTTAATAATCAAACTTAAATCTCTATCGTCCTGTGTAGAATACACACATGCATAATACATACACCTGTGTATATATATATATATCTGATATAAACATATCAGTTGCTGCAAAATTTATCTTTTAGATTTGGGTTAAATAATATATATACATGCATGTATAATAATAATATCTATTTTCATTTTACTATGTGTAATTTAAAAACTTATTTTATGTGTTATTTCAAGTTTTGTAATGGTGTCACATGGAAAGAAATAATCTTTTGTATTTTCATATTAATACCTTTATATAGAAAAAGGCTATTTAAACTGCATGTCTGTAATGTATTCATTATCTTAGTTCAAAATTGTTAAAATCTGATTTTCAGTTCAAATTTTAACAATTTTGGTTTTTATTTCCTTTAGGCTTTTTATCTGAAAGCAAACTCGAAAGGATATACTTGTCTCTCAATGCTTTGAATTTAGGAGAAGATGCAAAATCTTTAATACCTATAGAGGATATGTCTGAAGTGTACATAATTTCTGCAATGAGTTTTATTAGCTGTTTTCCGAGGAAGTTGTACTTTGTAACTGTAAGTATTATTGGATATTGTTACGTTTTTCCTATTCTTCTGACACCAGTTACGTTATTTTCTTCCTTCACATTCGTATGGGGTTCGTGTAGATTTGGAGTGAATAACGATGACACTTGATGATGAAGTTTCGAAACACAATTTATTTACCAATATCAAACAGGACAGCTCCAAAACACTTTTACAGTCATCGAAGATCTACTTTAAGCATGCTGGAACAATCAGCGACACAGCCTTCACACTGTCAGGCAATAACGGTGGAGACAGCTTCACCGCAAAGCACCAGAGTACAGCTTCCGACTCTGTATGGTCGTTCTCGGAACTCCACGTACTCTCGAGACTTTCCACGTGATGCACTTGACGATACACAAGAGTACAGTTCTTGACTCAGCACAGTCTAGGACAAAACTCGCTGATGCACTAATTTGCGATGCACTCGATGGCCACCTCGGGGCAAGACTTCGAGATACTCGCCCAATGACCGACTATCAGCTTGCTAGACGAGGCTCTCGATGAGACACTCGATGAGACACTCGATGAGAGGCGCACACACACTGACTGACTGCAGACCAGCAGGGTTTATATAGCTTTCGGCTTGTGTTCGGGAACATTCTAATAAGAATTCGTTCCAGAAGGTTCTCCAACTGTCCATGGTATATCGCCAATTTTGTATCCAAATGGGCGATTTCTCACCAAATGTGGCAACCCTGAACCCTTGCCATTTTATGGCAACCCTAAAACTGCTTTGCGGAGAAGCCATCTTACCGCACCTTAACATTTTGTAACAATATTTTATATAATTGGAATAATTTTTAAAATTTCTATATAAGCATTATTCACATGTACCTATATAATATAATTTCCTAGAACTGCTCTGCAAATTAGGTGATGATTTGATGTTTCAGATTCTGGTAATTTAAAAAGTTTTGGCAGTATGATAATATTAATAAAAATGATTATAAAGTTTTGAATGAATTTGTACTTTTTTATCATGGATGAAATGAATTATGCTTTCTTCATTTTCAGAAGTGAGATGTTCAACTACACTCATGTCCATAAATTAAATATAATTCGGAGTCACACGGAAATCAAACTCTAAAATATATATCACCTGTAAAATTACTACATACATCTTCAAGAATCATATGCAAATTTCAGGAAGTAACCAGATGACACCGATGGTACGTCGTAATGACGAGAGCGTAAGAGAGTGATATATAAGGAATACAGGCAAAGAAGTAAAATTGTTTGCAGGCGCTCTATAAGCATTTCAGAACAATAACCGAATAGTTATGACAGAAAGGACACATTTGGATGATTTTTTACGTGGTAGAATTATCGGCCGTCTTGAATGTGGGCGTACCCAACTAGAAGTATCAGACGAACTTGGAATTACCCAGAGTGTTATCTCCAGGCTTTGGCATTTGATTCCAAGATGATGGTTATGTGAGTAGACGTTACAGCACAGGTCGCCCCAGAGTTACAACGCTGAATGAGGACTGGTATTTGGCAGTTACTGCCAAACGAAACAGGCGGAGCACAGCCTCAGACCTGTCTCGTCAGCTCTCTTCAGCCACTGGTACAACAATTTCAAGGCAGACCGTGTACAGATGCTTAAGGCAGATTGGTCTATATGCAACTCACTGTCGCCTGCGGTTAGCCTGGAGTAGAGAGTATCCATTGTGGACACCGCAACAGTGGGCTTGTGTGATGTTTTCAGATGAGTCCAGGTTTAGCTTGCAGTCTGATTCTCGCCGGACTTTTATATGGAGAGCTCCAGGTACCCGTTACCACCAAGAAAACATCACTGAACGACACCGTTACGGTGGTGCAGGAGGGCTCGTTTGTGGTGGAATTATTCTGGGTTCCTGCATGTTCAAATTGGAACCATGACAAGCCAAATCTATCGGGACGTCATTCTGGAACAATATGTATGTTTGTTTCAGGGAGCCATGGGCGCACAATTTGTGTTTATGAATGACAACACCCGTCCTCACCGTGCAAACATCGTAAGCGAATGCCTTCAATCGGAGGATATCACCCGTATGGACTGGCCAGCATTCTCACCGGACTTGAATCCGGTAGAGCACATGTGGGACATGCTTGGCCGATGAGTTGCAGCCCGTCAACCTCCTCCTACATGTCTACCGGAGCTTCGGAGAGCATTGCGTTTTGAGTGGTGTAATATCCCCCAAGATCAGATCGATAATTTGATACTCAGCATGCCTAGGCGTTATACGGATTGTATTGCATCATCTGGGAGACATACAATGTATTAAGAATCATACCAACCATGTAATATTGGTTTTTTGTAAATAGGTTTTTTTTTGTGATTTGCTCCAGGGAGAAAAAATTGCTAATTTTTTTAATAATATCAAACACATAGCAACATATATCAAACATATAGCTTTTTTTCTCTGTACCTTTTGTTTAATAAAAAAGCTTTACAAATAAGTCAAATTTGTTTTGCTTCTAACTCTTCCTTTGCCTGATTTTGCATTATCCTTAATTTTTTGTACATGAGTGTATTATAAATTTTAAATTAAAAAAAAAACTTTCTTTTTTGTTTTTATGAAACATCTATGTATGATAATTTTAATTTTTACATGTATTCACGTTCGGTGTATACTGTAAATTAGAATATTAGAAATCTTGCATAGAATTGAATTAATAGTTAAAACAAAAATTTAATCTGTTAAACATTTGAAGTACTGTTATATGAGCACAAGCCATAACTGATACTTGGATTATTTCTACTATTATCTGGGCATTCAAAAATGGGGAATGTATTGCCAGACACTGCTACATAAAAAACAGGATTTGTAAGAGAAATAATATGGCATTCATTAGCGATTTTTTATCATTTTATATGTAAATAGTAGTAAATTTTCTAGGTTATTTTTATTCTAACCTAGCTATTCTTTATATCTTATCTAATGAAAAGGTGCATTCAACAAGTTTAGCAGCTAATGTTTTTTGTTAAAAAAAATATTCTTAATGAAAAGTTTTAGAAGAATTTTTTTTCAATATCTCTATTTCAGTATTATAGAGAAATGAATCTTTTTTAAGCCCAGTAATATATACATTAATCAGTATTTTTAAAAATAATTTATCCAGTAAGATATACGTAGGTTTTTTTTTCAACCTCCGATCGCACAGTATGATGGCCAGGTCTGTGGCCGGTGGTTGGTATGCGTAGTATGCTACTGCGCATCTCCCCCTCCACATGCTCTACCACTGGCGTATTTAACATGCCATTTTCTCTTGAGTTGCAGTCACGTAAACATGGCTGTCGCTATTGATTCTCCTGCCAAGTGTGAATTGTGAGCTGTTATTCGTTTCTTGCAGGCAGAAGAGAACAGTGCAGCGGAAATTCATCGAAGAATGTGTCGAGTGTATGGAAACAGCTTTATGAATGATGGCGTTGTTCGGGAATGGTGCCGAAAGTGTAAAGATGGCCGAACTGATGTGCATGATGAAGGGGGTCAAGGACGCAAGTCTGTCGCTACAGACAACATTGTTCAACGAGTTGATCAAGCGGTTAAGCAAAATCGAAGGTTCACCATAAGTGAATTATCGATGAAATTTCTGGAAGTTTCAAGATCTTCCCCATACTCTATTGTTACTGAACAGTTGCGCTACAGAAAAGTTTGCACTCGCTGGGTCCCACAGATGTTGACTGACGACCACAAAACTCGCTGAATGGTTGCAGCGTTTGAGTTTCTTGATTGTTACAATACTAACGGAGAAGAGTTTTTGAAATCCATTCTGACAGGTGATGAAACATGGGTTCAATATGACATGCCCGAAACGAAACGTCAGTCACAACTATGGACGCACACAAATTCTCCAAAGAGACCTACAAAATTCAAACGAACCGTTAACAACCGTAAGGTTATGGCAACTGTTTTTTGGAACCAAAAAAGTGTGTTGCTTGTGGAGTTTATGCAGCCTGGAACAACAATTAATGCAGATTCATATTGTGAAACTTTGTGACACTTACGGAGAGCTATTCAAAACAAACGAAGAGGCATGCTGACTTCTGGAATTGTTCTGATCCACGACAATGACCGTCCTCACAGCGCTCGTGTAACCCAACAGCTCCTTCAGCAATTTTAATGGGACATTTTTGAACATCCACCATATAGTCTCGACCTATCAGCGCCGAGGGACTTTCATCTTGTTCCCTGAACTGAAAGCAGTTGGCTTGGCGGGACAGTGCTTCCTAAAATTGACGTGGAGCTCGAAAGAAACCGTCACAACTCACTTCCAATCATTGGTGGAGAACATTTTATAAAGAGGGTATTGCAAAGCGTGTTCACAGATATGACAAATGCCTCAATCTTCAAGGTGATTATGTAGAGAAATAACCTGTATTGTACATTACTTTTGGTAATAAAATCTTTTTTGTATGTTCACCCGTCTTTTCTTTATAGCCCATCGGAGGTTAAAAAAAAAAAACAAAACCCTCGTATATATCTATATCTATATCTCTCTCTATATATATTAGTATCTTGAAAAATAATTCATCAAATTATTGAAAATTTTCTCCTCTGTTCTGGCAGAATGTCATCTTGTGCAAAGTATTATGAATTTCTAAAAAATTAATTATGTATTGCTATGATTAAGATTGATTTATTATATACATTAACTATGCATAATGGTATTTCCATCACCCAGATGGTAAAGTGGTTAGAAGAGCCTGCTATGGTACCGAAGGGCCCGGCTTTGAATCCCGGAGAAGACATGGATTTTTGTAAATGTATAGTGTCGGTGCGACACGGATGTTTGTAAATGTATAGTGTCAGCCGAAAGTTCTCTTGTGTGGATGTGTGAGACTACGGTTCCCCTCCTCCTTGGGTGCTCTCCCTCAAAATTGGGGGTGGAAAGTAGAAGTCAAACCTGTCTTCAGAAGTACGTTCCATTGTTCCAGCAACCATTGTTCCATGTATGGACATGACAACAACAACAGCAATGGTATTTCCAAGCAGATGTATAGTGAATTATACATTAAGCAATATTAGTGCATTTCATTATTTAGTATTATACTTTTAGCCTTTTAATAATGCCTGGATTATTTTAAGCATTCCTCTTAAAAAGACTTAGCAAGCTGCTGTGAGTCTTTGTCATGATCCCATATTCTGTATGCTCTTTGAATTAGTTTGTATATTTTTCCTTCCTTGAGATTTATTTTTGAAAATATTCCAAATTCCTCCAGTGGTGTTCTTACCAAGAATATTTCAAAGCTAACCTAGCTTGAAGCTCTTTAGAAGTAAAATAATTTTTCAAGGTCCTTAATGTATGGCAACGAAGATTATTAAAAAATATCTTATTACACATACTTGATAAAAACATGTAGTCAGTCATGCAAAAAAAAATTTTTTTTTTCAATATCTCCTTATATTTTTTGTGAATTCATGCTCTCTTTAATTATTTTGATGTGTCCGGTACCATGTACAGATATGCAGGTCAAATTGAAGTCTCATAGGGAAAAAACAAGCTATTGCCAAAAATATCAAAAGACATGTTTCTCAATTAGGAAGCAATATGGAGCAAGAGATTAATACTGAATAATAGTTTGCTATAATCCAGAGAAGTCCATATGGCATACATTTTGGGCCCAAGAAAATAATTTTTTTTATCCTAGAAAGTGGTCGCTTAGGTTTTCTGTGTGGTTTCAAAGCTTTAATCTAGCTTCCAGAAGATGTCATCTTAAAGAACTAGTAACTTAATATTAAATGATAATATTTACTTTTTTATAGTTTATTGTGATAATCAGTTTTAAAAAAAGTTTATTTACAATTAAAACAGAAAAGTTTAAAAAATGTGATATTCACTTTAAAAAAAAGTTTAATTATTATTAAAATATAAAAGTTTAAAAAATAATTAATTGTACTAAAATAACATTCCCCCCTTTATATTTGAAATATTTTTGAATTAGTTTATTTTCATTTGTATAGTTCATTAATGCATTTTTAATTTTAAAGTGAAGCTCAGATATTACAAAGTAATGTCCTTTTTCTTTAAAGTGGTATTTGCTGAAGAAAGCACGGAAAGTTTACATCTCCAACAATGCTATGGTGCCTCCAACTTTAAGATGGCTTTTTGACCCTATGGGGCAGACCTTCTTCAGAAATGGAAATTGGACTTACCTTCGCGAAGGAACCGTTTTTAGTTCCATTCCAAATTCAAGTAATTTTCATTTGTACTTTGTTTCTTTGTAGTCAAATTTTGATAATTTAAAGCTGAAAGAAAATGAAAAAATTTTGAATTTTATTTTTTTGCATTTGGTTTAATTTATTGAAATTCAACTGCATTTGTTCATCTGTTCTATAATTTAACTATTATATTTTCATTTTAATTTGAAATTAATTATGGTTGTGATATATTGAACTAGTTATGTGTTATTTATTCAGCAAAACTATTGCAGATTTTTTTCATGACACTATGTTTTTATTTCAGAAAATCCACTCTCTTTTGCTTCTCGAGCTTTTCGAGAATTTTTGCTAGAGAAAATTGTGCTTTCCATTATTTCACCTAGCATGGAATTGGATGAGAATATTGAATATAAAAGGTATGTTTGTTATTAAATTTGCAATGTATAAATTTATAACATTACTTTTTTGTATTTAGAAGGTATATGTGTTATATAATCCTTCAGAATGTTTTCTTTAATACTGTCTTTATAGTGCAATTTCAGTGTAATTATAATTTATGGTTACTTTTTTTCATTTTTGATCAGTTCACGGCAGTAGTCTCGTGTGCATCAACCACAATCATTACCTCACAGCCAGTTGTTTCGTGTATGAATCACAGGTTAAATTCACTCTGTGGCCGATACTACTTATGACTTTTTATATAGAACAATTTAATAAACATTTTTTGTATTGACACTAGATTAAGCTGTATATCTATTATAGTTAAATTTATCAAAAAAAAAGTGAAGCATGTTGACCTTCATTCCTTTTCAGTGTTTTTTATTTTTGGTATTTTGTTTGGGAATTAGAGTGAGATTCATAAGGAGTGTAATGGCTCGTTAATTGCATCAGTGTTCTTCATGCTTAATCAGTGTTTGGAATCCCCTCCTCCCATTTAGCTGGATAGCTATTCTACGATTTTAGAAGTTTTATTTATTGCTGTTAGATTTTTTTTTAGGGTTAAGACCAGTATCATTTAATGAAATATTTTGTGCATCTAAATGACGAAGTGAAAATGGTATTTAAAAGAAGATTGTACAAGAATGATAAATGAGTTTTTTTCCACACTGATGACAGTGATGATATTTTTGTAGAATTGTAAAATGATACTTGAAGAGGTATATTTATTTATTTATTTGAGGTAAGTCAAAAATTATAAGTGCTGGTTTTTTATGAAAGAGGTTTATAATAATTTTTAGTTTTATTAATGTTGTGTTAGAAAAAACCTGTGACTGGGTATTTTTGCCATATATGTTTATTGAGGTAAATAAATATTATATTGCTCCCAACTTGATTATTTTATAAAGTTTCTAAGAAAAATATAATAATAAAATTCTTAAATTAAGTCTAATAACTACCTCAGTGCTCCTGTCCATAATGTACCAAAAATTGGAAGAATTGGATGACAAATTTATTTTATGCAAAATTTTTTCCAAAGATAGGCGTAGCAGTGCTAATTGCCTACCCCCACAAGCCAATGCATCCAATTAGCCTGCCATCCTGAGAGAGCGGTTGGTGATTGAGATGCCATCGTGAACGAGTTAAGATTTACTTGTTGATGAACTCTTCTTTTTTCTCTTTAATATCACAGATAAAATGATGTAGCTCTCATAAACAGAAAGCATTTTGCAAATAATTTAAATTAAAATTCCTTAGTTTAATATGTGATAAAAAATTATAGTTTTATAGCAGTAATTTTTTTTTTTTTTAACCAGTGCATTTTAACTTCTTAACACTTCGTGTTCTGAAAAACAGGGTTCTAAACAATCATATTATCTAATGAAATTAAAAATTAATTCAGATTGGAATATTTGTTGTCTAAAAATGAGTTTGCTTTGAGAAAAGCTTGATTTTTTGTGAAGCTTTGCAGTTTTCACAAGTTTATGGAGTTATTTAGCAAGTACCCTAGCAGCATACTTGTTGTGAATTAATAACAAAGAGAGCATCATCCACAGTTATTCAGTAATTTTTAAAACAACTTTTAAAATTTGACAGATTGAGTGACAACCAAGGACTAAAGAAATACATTTAAGTAGAACTAATAGGCTTATTGTATTATGGGCTTGGCAGATGTAAATATTAAACAAGCAAATATTTGATGTCTTTAGGAAAAAGGAGAATTAATATATCTCACATGTTTAAGTATCTGTTTCATGTTTTGTTTGTTTTGTGTAAATAAATTATGTATTGTTGTTCTTCATGAGTGAACTTTTGCAACTTAACACCAGAAGATAACTGACATAGAATTAATTGATCCCGAGGAAAGTTCATAACAACTTATTCTTGTATATTTTAATGGCACTTATTTTAAAACTCCTCGAGTTGTAGCCCTGCATGAGCAAATCTGCTTACTCAATTTTAAATTATTCGTGAAAACTAAGGGTTTAATACATATTTTAATATTAATATGGTACTCCCTTGATGAAGCAGCCATTACTGTTACTTGCCAAAATTGGCAATCTTAATCATCAGACTTATTGAATACCAAATGCAGTGGATCCTTTAACAAGGAAGAACCATTAGTGTTTTTGTTAATTATTTGGTTTAATATTTTAATACGAGTTTATTTATTTTCCCCTTATTCTCTCTCCCCTTAATAGAAATTGCTCAACTGGCTTGATTATTTCTAATCTCATACAGTTATTGAAGGATTCTTGTTATGTTTCCGAAAGTAGTTGTTTTTCATCAGTTGTGGGTAGCTCAAAGCCAATAAGCTTAAGACAAGAAGACCGTGTTGCTTATTGGTGGGCATCCGTGTTAGGAGTAGCGCTAGCATGGCTACTTGGAGAGGATGAAAAAGCTGAAAAATTATATCAAGATGTGGAAGCTTTCCCCAAAGAACTGATGAATTCACAGTATGTAGCTCCAGATTACATCCATTGTGAATATTTTTTTGTTTTTAGCATAATGTTACTTAAAACAAATTTGTTTAATAAACATATAATTGATTTATATTTATTGATGTTTATTAGACTTAAAAATGAGGAAATATAACTATTTTTATTAGCTTTATCAAAGGACTTACTGTATTTTCATAAAATTCTCTTAATCAGAAAATTATGTATTTTTCAAACTTTTGAAAAGAATTATTTAATTCCTTATAAAAGAAAGCTCACACCTCTTCCTTTTGAATCATCTTTTTAGTTTTGATTTTATTTATATCTTTTTTACAGGTGAAACTAACTGCCATTGTCTTGTGTTATAGAGAAACAGAATATAAGCAATCATTCATGAATTAACATGTTTAATTAATGTTTTAATTATTTTTAAATTTCAATATCTTTTTTCAGTTATGAATATGTTTTATTGCTTGCAACAACTTAATAAGTAAATAATTTTATCTAATATTTCAAACAGAAATCTAAACTTTATTCTGCACAGGTTTCACAAGCAAGTGCATCTGTAATTAACTCTCTTTGCTATTTGTATCATTTATACTAGATTTCATTGTGGATTATGAAATTTTATATAGTGTTTATAAAGGCTTATCTCTAGAAGGGGCAGTTTACATTCTACAGATTTCCTGATTTTTTAATACATTTTCTGGGTGAATTTCTAATATTAGAATAATGTGAAGGTCAATCTGAAATTTTTGAAATACACATAGTTTTTTTAGTTAGTTATACTTACGAAATTTTAGGGCTGTTCAAAGTAGTCTCCTCCACCATAAGTGCGCATCTGTAGATAAATTTTCGAAAGATTAAATGTCTCAAGCCATTTATTTCTTGGAATCTATGAAAAAAGGCACTAATAGCCTCATGAATTTCGTGTTTGGAATGAAAACAATATCCAATAAGCTATATTAAAAAATAGCCAAAAGTCGCACATAGATGGGTGGAATAGGGTGGATGTTCTATCACTCTGATGTGTTTTTGATCAAGAAACTCAACTGTCAATTTTGCTGAATGAGAAGATGCATTGCTGTGGTGGAGCATGAGTCCTGTAATGCTCACTTCTTGAAGAATGTCTGGAAGACACTTAGTTGTGTACCAGTTAGCTGTGACTGTCCTTTTCTCCTTCCAGCTTGATGGCTTTGACCAGTCCTTTATTTCTGAAGAAAATTGAATACATTACTTTCTTCATGGTATGTTGTCTTTTCAACACTGTAGGCATGGGATCACCGGCAATTGGCCAATAAAAAAATATCTGCTATACTAAAGTAGTTCATATTTTCAAACATAACCATTAATTTTTTTTTGCACATATCTAAAAAATTTCAGAATGTTCAGAAATGTTGTAATACATGTCTAATAATAAATGAATGGCATACTGAATTTGAAGAAGTTACATATTGTTGTATATTATGTACTAAGAGGCCAGATTTCATGGGAATAATGTTGAAAATCTGATGTGGACACCACATGACTTCCTTGTACAGAATATTAAATTATATGCAGTTTTTGCTGCATTTCATTTAAACTTATTTTTTCGAATTTCTCATTCAATTAATTCAGTTCTCACTTTGTGGCCAGGCAAAAATACATGAAATCTCAAAATATCTTTATTAAAACTTGAAAAGTATAGAAAATTATAAAACACCAATACAGTTAAATTAAAAAAAAAAAAAAAAAAAAAAAAAAAAACCCACACTGCAATTAAAATTATAGTTCCTATGCAAAAACAGACAATTTGGCCAGCAGGCAAGAAGACAAATTTTTCAATGCACAAAACTGAAAGTTTACTTTTGGTCCCACTCAGCAAAAAGACATTGAAGGTGCAGAAACTGACTTGATTCACTATTCTGCTAAGTTTAAAATGTAAACAAATATGGCTGCTATGGTAAAAAAATTAGGCTTAGCCACACTTAACAACTTTTAAGTTGCTAGTAATTCTACAACTATTTCATGCAGATTAACTAAAGGTGCAAAAGCCGTATCCGAAACATAAGAACAGCATAATTCAAATACTTTTTAAAGCAAAAAATGTATAATTTACCAACATATAAGAATAAAAAAAAACTGAGCTCATGGAGTTGAGTAACAGAGTGGGTATATATATGTTTGGAGCAGCTGATTGCAACTAAAAAGGGAGGTGCACAACTACATGTTATAGCAGTCGTGTATACAAAATTTGAATGTTCTGAGTTATGCAAGATGCATGCATACAAACATATGTACTGATGTCACGAAAAAAATCTCTTCTGAAGCCGTTTTAAATCCTTTTTGCAATCTGTTTTGGGAAAAAGAGTCCTTTATTATGTCCTTACTTACAGATGTCATGCAAAATATCATTAAATTGTATTTGAAAGCAGTCAAAATAGATATTTTCGTTGAAATATGTTTGCCTGAAAATTTTCGCTATTACAATACTTCCTTTACTTCATACAAGGAAGTAAAAATAGAGCTATCTTGTTTTATGCATATGAAGTTACGCCAATATCCTACAAACACATCATTTGCTCTAAAGTAATTTCTCATGTAAGATGACTGAATTATGGGTGTTAACAAATTTTGAACACAGCATGATAATAAAATGTAGATCATGCAGGAATTTTGTCTCCCCCATATTTGGGGGTCCAAAGAATGTATTATGTGTTGTATTAGTGATACAGTACAAAGTCTTTAATCCGGACCTCAAAGCTACAAAGTTTCTGCGCATGCATAGCGTTAACGCATGTGCATAATACCTTTACGCATGTGCATAATACCTTTACGCATGCACATATGCGTTTATGCATGCACATAATACGTTTACGCATGCGCGTTTAATGTGTAACGGTCGGTATAAGCTAGGCTAAAACTATCTAATTATCTATTTCAGTTAATGTTGCAGATTGCTTTGTTCCTTAATCTTCTAATTGGATCCGGCTTATTATTTTTTGAAGACCGTTAGAGCAATTTTATAAAAAGTAAGCATGAACTTTCGATTATGTCAAAAAGAGTTTCCGATTCTGGAGCTGCCAAAGGATCTACAAAGCGAAAGAATGTTTCGATGTCCATCAAACAAAAAGTGGAATTGTTGCAAAAAATGGATAAAGCCATGAAGAAAGTAACAGAGAGGTTAGTGAAAACGAAAAAATTTCGATTGACAAGTTAGTCTGTATTCTCGGCACAGCAATTACAGGACTTGAACAGCGGAACTTTTGAAACTGAACAAGAAATTATGTCTGTTTATAGAATTAAAGAGACTTTGTACTGTATTTCCATGTAAGTAAATATATTAATTGGATGGCCATCGTCAATTGATGCCAAAGCTGTTGTCACCTGTCATGAATTATAATGAGCAACAGATTGGGTTTGCAGGTTAAAAAACCAGAAAGCTTAAAATTACTGTAGATTTCAGTGTACGCCAAACACAAACTGTTCCTGGCAGGGCTTAGTTTCCAAAATTAGAAGTGCTGGAGCCTTATAGAGATTCATCAGGGAAGATAATAAAATAAAATAATGAATAAAATGTAAATAAATAAATAAAAGTAATAAATTAATGAAAAATAATTAAATATACTCATCTGATCTGATATCCATTCAGAATTATGATTGTACTTAAGGTATGGGAAGTGCTGGAATTGGACTTAGCTGAATTTCAGCCCTGACTTCTCGAAGGAGAGAGAGGGGGGGGGGAAGGCTTGTTATGAATTACTGTTTGTAGTGTCTTGTAGCCCAAAGTTCTTGTGTCTTGTTGCATATATGCCATAATAGACCTCGTAGACTATGATGGGTCTGCAAACTTTGGAACCAGACAATGCAATATGGTCCTCTGAATCGAGACTCCTGATTATCATGCTGAAGAAGTGCCTGTGTAGCACCCATAAAGCTATAGATTTACATTGCTAAGGGCTAGAACAACATATCTCATGGCTTTTGACTCAGCATATAGGCAGTATTTGTCTTGCATGTAATTTTACATTTTTTGTTTGTCAGTGATAAGTATTTTAGTCCATTAAAAAAAAGCATTTTGAGAATAATAATCTTGCAAAGGAAATAATTAAGACAATAGTTCAAAATAAATTGAATCTGAATATATACTGTGCTCTACTTTTGAAATTATGTAATTGAAGAATTATTCCGCTGTATTATATTTGCATTATTGTTATATTTTTTGTGGGGAGTGATTAAAATGTCTTATATATTATATATTATAACAATATAAAAGTAGCATGCTAAATGTTTTTGCCTCCCCTTTTTGGGTTATTTTTGTTGTTTAGTAATGTTTAAATTCTTCATATAGTTGTGAAATATAGTGCAGTTGGCATTATTTTTATTATTTGAAACTGTTTAGTTTTGTTATTTGTTCATTATTACTTTAGTAGCAAGATTTTATGCATATTAAATGTATATATTTATAAATTATTGTCTCTATACTTTTTAAATTAGTAGATGTACATTTTAAATTATTTTTTTAGCCATCCTTTACCTTCTGCTGTTTTAAATGCTTTCCGTGCTCGCAAGTGTTACATGAATCAAGCGTCGATGCCAGGTGCTACTCTTAAGCTTTGTGATAAAGCAGGCAGCCTTATCAAAGACAGCTTAAACTATTCTTTGCACCAGATGCCTCCTCCTTTAGTACAGGTAATTATTTTCTTGTTTTCTTTTTATTTATATCAGTAGCTGTGAAGGGAAAAAATTGGAGTTTTAAAGAAATAAGATTTATCTGTTACACAAAGGCTATTCAAAATACAGATGTAAAGGAAACGTTTTTGTTGTGTGAATTTTAAATTAAAAAATGTTTTGATTTATAAACAAAGTTGCTTCCCTCAGCATATTTTGCACTTTCATATTTATAAATGGAGGAGGAGCATTTTATTTATAGAAGAAATTAGTATATAACCCAAAGTAGTATTTCTTTGCATCAAGAATAAAGGAATTTTGTTTCCGCAGTTATTTGAAAATATATTACTGATAAAAGATCCGAAATGTGCAAAAAGTGGAAAAAATTGAAAATGGCAATACATTATGAGTTTATTATCATGATCTTAATAGAATTAAAATTCCCCCATCCATTTTTTTTTTCTATTCTGTTGTTAAATAGAATTCTGTAGAGAACAAACACCTCTCTCTCAAAAAGAGGGAAAAAAAAAAAAGTGGTTTGGGTAATGAATTTTCCCCTTTCACTATATTTCATTAAATCAGAGGTTCCCATTTTTATTTTTGTCTTGTAGACTGTGTGGCAATGTTTAGTTTTGATAGTTTCATAGGCAGTCGGGCAGTGTAATATTTATTTATACTCAAGCGTTCCAAAACAGAGTGAAGCTGTAGCAGATAGTAAGTTCATCAAAGGTGTTTCAAAACACTTAGATGAAAGCAAAATGTATATGGAAATGTCATGTGACAAGGGCAAAATTTATATGATAGTAAGGTGAAATTTTATACTGGATGAGTGATTTTAGAACTCTATTCTAATACTGAATTTTAAAAAATTCATTGACTTCAAACATGTTTTTGAGATGTGAGAAAGAGCTATTTACTTAGGGTTTACTGTAGAGCAGAAAATTTTAAAATAAAAAGTATGTAAATTTTTAATCTCTTATCTTTTACTATTAAAATGACACAAAATGCAAATCTAGTAATATTCGTACATAAAATAAGTACATACACACAAATCCATTCTTTTAATGGGAGGGTTGAACTTTGTGCTTCAGTAGCAAATTTTCAGTATTTGGCTTCAAATTAATTAGACTTAATTTTAAATCTTCTTGGCAGGTGACTTCCAGTCTGATTTTTTTGAGGGGGGATGGCAACCTTGTGAAGCCCCCTTTCACAAGGTATGAAAATGTTGATATCCCTTTTTAAACTGCACCTTAAATTCTTCATTTAACCTTATTTCAGCCAGTTCTTGTTGTAACATGATATCCGATTCTTCAATGTCACTGTATGGATTGATTATCTTCTGTAGTATTTTCATAGTCAAAATATCCTCAAACCTGGTTTTTAAAGTTTTTGTAAAGTGCATTGCAAGCCAAAATGTCATCATCCTGGCTGTTTGTGGTGAATTGGGAAACTGAGAAAATTCCATCTGTCCAGTAATTGACTTCATTATGTTAATTCTGGCAAGAAAAGCTGCAATGATGACCTTCATTTTTATTGAAATTAGTCTTTTACCATATAATTGCAGGTTACTATCAGGTTTAGTAAACAAGTGTGTTAAATAAGTAATATCTAGTTCCCATATGATTAAATTTTCTTTTAAAATGGGATATTTAGTATCCAAAAACTTTGAAACAGAAGGGGAAAAAAAAAAAAAAAAAATCTTGTCAAACATAAGCCTTTGACAGCCAGCATACTTCAGTGTGAAGGAGTATTCACTGAAAGTGTTCATCATCTTCTTCTCACGACTGCATAAATATCATAGAATTCAATGTATTGCTCCAAATTTTGTTTATTGCATTTAAGATTATTAGTTAATGATACTTTCAAATTTCAAGCAGTTTTCTTTAGCATACCCATGAAACTAATTCTATTAGTATACTCATATATCATGGCAAAATTTAGCACACATATTTTTTACTTATGTGTGCTGTTAAATAAATATAAAGTATTTGAATTTATTTAAAAATATTTTTAAATAGATTTCTTTTTACATAGATTTTTTTATGTTAAAAATCACAACTGTTTTAATAATTTTTATTAGATATCTTTCCATTCAAGAATGTGTTCTTACAATTTACGTATTTTAACAAAAAAGACGGTTTTATATTGAAATTTTTCAAAATAGTTATAACTTTGAAAATATAGAATTGTAAAACTAAATTGTAGAATTTTTTCAGTACATTGAGTTAGGTGCAACTCTCCTCAATTCTGCATTTAGTTGCATGTTAGTCGTAGTCTTATATTTTATTTAAAATTAGAAGTATGTAAAGGATTAATTAAAAATTTTATTCATTAAAAATTTCTTTTGTATACTGAAATCTTATAATGATAATTTATAAATCATACATTGAAAAACAATAAATTATCTGATATTTAGTCTCAGCTGCAAATTCACCTTCTTTAATTTTTATGGATGATTTGAGGCCAAAGGAATAGCAGATACAACATTAAGAATGGGTAAGAATCAAATTTAACACTGTGCAGGAGGCAAAAAATAATTTCTTATTTTATATAATATATTTTTATCTTTCAGGATTCAAGGGGCACTTATTTAAAAGCATTTTAATTTCATTCTGAAAATATCTTTCCATTCAAGAATGTGTTCTTACAATTTAGGTATTTTAACAAAAAAGACGCTTTTATATTGAAATTTTTCAAAATAGTTATAACTTTGAAAATATAGAATTGTAAAACTAAATTGTAGAATTTTTTTCAGTACATTGAGTTAGGTGCAACTCTCCTCAATTCTGCATTTAGTTGCATGTTAGTCGTAGTCTTATATTTTATTTAAAATTAGAAGTATGTAAAGGATTAATAACAGAAATTGAAAAAATTCATGTTTTGGAAGTATTCTGTTTGTATACATGAATTAGAAAAGTCTGCTATCAGATAATTTATTGTTTTTCAATGTATGATTTATAAATTATCATTATAAGATTTCAGTATACAAAAGAAATTTTTAATGAATAAAATCATTCATAATTTAGGTAATGATGTTATTTATGCGAGAATAATTTATTTATGTATTGAGCTTTCCTCTGTAGATGATCTTTTCATTGCACAATTTTACTTTTCTTTCTTTTTCTTTCTTTTCTTTTCTTTTCTTTTTTTTTTTCTTCTTCTTCTTCTTCTTCTTCTTCTTTTTTTTTTTTTTTGTAAATCCCTTTAGTGGAGAGAAGGAAAAATGAGAACTACGCTTAGAGTCTTAATGTGGAAAAGAATGTTTTATATATATGAAAAAACTTTTTTTAATAGTTATAAATGCAAAGCTGAATTCAGTGTTAATGTTGTGGTTAAAAAACTGCGGGGGCGGGGTTAAATGCAAAATTTTTAAAAATTGAAATTTGTTGAAAAAAATTTAATTTGCTTTCTTTAGTATAGGTAAATATGTATTTGTCATATAAATTCATTGTAATTCATGTAAAGAATTACCTTTCAGGTATCACATAAAGAATTATTTTCGAAATTCATATACTTTTCAGTTAAGTCATACAGTCAGTCAGAAAAAGTTTCTGATTAGAACAGAAAATGAAGTAATTATGCATTAAATAAAAAAATTAGTAATTTATATAAAATGTATGCTGAAGTAATGTGTTTTATTTAGTATTAACTACATACATTTTTATTTGTATAGCGTGATCAGTAGAAAAGTTTTTTTGATGAACGTATCTTTTTATCCTAGCCTAATCATTAGTCCGTTCATTCCTGTTGCTACATAATACAAATGAGTACTATTGCTGCATAGTAAAAAAATATGGCAAAATCAAAATGTGATTTCCTTTAAATTTTATGTTTTAAGTATAAGTACAACTTTTATACAAAAATTTTATGTGCAAAGCAATGTAAATTTTAAACACAGAACTGATGAAACGTGTATGCATTTTAAAATCTAGTTCTGTTACGAGGTGATAACCACTAAAACCTGTTATACCTCTACTTCCAGTTAAATCCTTCTTGTCATAATGGAAGCCTACTAGATAATGGACAGGTACACGTGGATACTCCTTGCTTTAATGACAGTCATTTGAGTGAGAGGGGAAGGGCAGGACCACAATCCCTTTTAGCATTAATGTGGGTACAGAATGGGCAGAAGATATAGCAGAATTTGGTTTCATTACATGAGAAGAAGCATTTTTAGTTGCAAGCCTTGTCCACTAGGGGGTTAATATGTTACTACTGTTAGATATTATGCAGATAAAATCAGTTTAATCTGTAAGATATTGTAAAAGTAATAAAATTTGACATATGTATATGTAGGTGAAGTATTTTAGTAATTAATATTTTTAAGTGGATAAAAAGAAATATATAATTATGCAAAATGTTCATAAATTTTGATAAAAGCGAGTGTGGTCTCCTTAGTAGCTAACTCCTTTCTTTTGAGGTGGGAGGAGTATTGAATATTATGACATAAATTTTAACTTCATAATTAGAATAATTTTCTTTCTTTGTGATGCACTTTCAAACACTCTTAGTGTAAAATTGTATGGAAACTGAGTGTTTTTTGAAGTGTAACCAATCTGATAATAGTAAGTGTATTTATCATTGTTGTTACAAAAAGCTACCATAAATTGTTATAAAATTTATTACTTAACAAATTATAAAATGCTGATCTAAATTTGGGTTTTGGGTTTGGCAGAAACAGCTGAGAGATTTTAAAATGAAAGAACAACATTATGAATAAACTTATACACATACCTTTAGTGTATAAAGTTTAGAGATTTTGTGTACTAACTGATGTTCAGATTTGCATATATTGGAAAATGTGTTTCAAGTGGTCTCCATTATATTGCATGTGTCCTCTTGAAGAATGATTACCATCTCCTGAGCTACATGATCTTTCATATCCTGCAAGTTAATTTATGTTTGTGCAACATCTTTCAAATGGAACAGAGAATCAACCTGAGTTAATAATAGCCGGTGAACAAATAAGGTCAGAACTTCAAATTGTGAAATTATGTATTTAGAAACTAAATACTGACAGGACCTGTGCTTACATGCAGCTTGTAAGCTGTAGCTCTGTTATGCTAGAACAGCTTCACTCAGGGCTGGGCAACTGTTCAGTATTGCTACATAATGTTTGACAATTAGTAGCACCATGTTCCCATTATCATCCTAGAATTAATAAGGCCTAGTAAATGTGAAAGGATGGCATCACAAATTTTGGACTACAAAAAGAACACAGATGAAACTCATGAGGAAATTTTGTTAACAGGTAGACCTCCACTGCAGTACCACAGAATTGCCCTGGCCTTTGCTCTGTGACTAACTAAACTTCATTGACACAGCTTCCATGTGGCATATGCTTTGACTCGTGTTACTAAGCCACAGTATCATAATTATCATCTAAATCTGTTTCTGTGTAATCCTGTGTTAAAATAAGAGGCATTAAATTTCTCATTAATAGGAAATTAGCAACAAATTAGGAAACATCTCTAGTTAAGTATTACTGAGATTGGTATTAATAGTGTGAACAATTATTGCAATGTACAAATTATCAATTTCTAGGCATTTCAAGTGTTGAGTATTGACTGGTGTTTAAGTACAAGAAAGCATGTATGGGAGAATTCAAAAGCTGGTGACTCTGCATCTGCATCAGATTCCTTTGGTGTCTCGGAGGGTTATCGAGAAGATCTGCGAAGCCTTAGACGACTGTTACATCACATTCCCAAAATGTGTTCAAAGGTAAAGTAACTGAACCCATAAAATCTTTGATATTTAAAAGAATATATGAAACATTTTTATTGTGTTTAATGTTAACAGTTTTAAGGTTCAGAAGAATGTACTGTATCTATTTAAACTCTAAATATACAGGGGTGTTCATAAGTCTCTAAAAATTCAAAACACTTTAAGTTAATTTAAAAAAAAAAAAAAAAAAAAGTACTTAATGATTCAGCAGTTTCATGTCAGTGCCCAAGTGAAGCTAAGAATTGGGACTCTTCACATATTTTATTATGAAAAAATATGAAATGTGCAAGCGTAAAGCATTAAAAAAATAATAATTGTTTCTTAAAAGTGTTGCTGGTGGTCTAGAGGTCTGGATATAGGATAACCGGATTTCAGACTTTATACTGTAATTAGTGCCAAAGCCTCACGCTAAAACGGAAATTTGTTACATTTTTTTTTACATATTACACACGTGCTCACTTTATCCACCTTTCATGGCATGGTGGCATTTGTGCTGCCTCTCTTGAAGGATTTATTCAGAAAATCTGCCTGAGAGGAATGATGATTACCCAAATAGCTTTTATCAAACGTATCATCACAAAGGTCCTTATTGTGAAAAAATTATGCATAATTTTTTATTTAAATTTCATATCACATATGTTAAAAACACTGTCTGTTTCATAGGTGTCCAAGCTTTTTGTTTCCCTGGGCCACACTAGAAGACTAATGAGATATTTTGGACCATACAAATTATTTCTAAAACTAGTGGCAAATTGTGACCTCCGAAATAAATGAATCACTTAGTTGCATAAATTCCATTGAAAATTTTTGGGTTTGTTCAGGTTTGACTGTGGAAGAAATGTGAGTTAGATCATATTAGTTCAAATTTTCTCTGTGTACTATATATAAGCACATATATAGAAAAATTTAAAGTAAGTTAGTGATTCATTTGGATTCATATGGTGAGCTACTACTGCTTGACTTTAATGATGGCTGTTGAACAAAAAAGAAAAAGCATATTGAAGTAATGTAAACTTATTAGTTTATGATTTTTTAAATATAATGATAGCAATATAGAATTATTTTGACAATTTATGCATAATATTTCATCATAAATTTATAATTATAAACAAACTTTTGCAGTTATTTATAAAAGTCAGCAGTAATTTATAATTATAAACAAATGTTATAGTTTTATTTATAATCTTAATTGGCCTTGAATTTGAGAAACTACTACATCAATGTCTGGTTTGATTGAATTGATTGTAATTCTTAAAGTATATTTTGGCTGTAATTTTATTCCTACTGTGCCTCACGCTTGAAAATAGTTGTACACAAATGCCAGATAATTATGAAATGAATAAAGCATGACTGTGCAGCAAGCCATATTTGTCTTGGGTTGAAATGAAGGTAATCGCTTCATGCACAAGTCAAAAGAAAATTTGGAACCACGACTCCATTCAAAATGAACTTTATTTTGCCCGAACTTAGATAACCTTAAAATAACATGTTTGTTCTTTTCTTAACTGCTTTGGGCCACATGCGGGCAGTTGTTTGGACCTCCCTGGTCTATATGTCTTTGCTCCTTGACCTTTGCTCCTTTCATGATCTTCACAATTTTTCACCAATGTTGTTTCACTTGTCCACCATAACATGCTAGCATGCATATGGAATAGAATTTTATTGTAGCGTAGATATGTAGTAAATTAATAAAATGGACACACTGAGCATTTGTTAAGTATGTTAAAAAAATGTTATGTGTGTTTCTATTTTGTAGTAATAAAATTTGGTGTTGTGCATAATTTCTTCTCTTTATTATTTGTGAACTTTTCAAATAATCAGTTGAATTATGAAAAATTCTATATTGATTTATTGGTTTATTTCAGTGACACAAAATTTAATGCAATAAACAGTCCCTACATTGAATTTGGGTATCAATATATATCATAAAAAGCAGATAATAATATTTCAGTTCCCCCCCCCCCAATTTTCAATAATTAATTTTAGGTACTGAATTGTATTTCATTCTTATTGTAAATGGAATCATTATATAAATTGTTATTAAAATTTCACAGAATGTATGTTGCTAAAATTAAATATTTGCAGTTTTTTTATCTTGAATAAAAATAGCTTCATTAAGATTTATAATTGTACCATTTGATGGAAAGACTAATTTTTAGAAGTACATGCTATTTTTTAAATGCAGTTTGATAAGTGAATTTTTTTATCTGAAAAATTTCATTAACTCATGATGTGTGTACCAATTATAATTTTACATGTAGGTGCATCTATATGAAATAACTCTGAGACTTATGGCAGGAGCTAATCCTGTGAAAACTCAGCAGATGCTTGAAAGAAGTCTTAGAAGAAGGAGTAAATTTTCTTCTATCATATGTGCAAAAGGTAAGAAAGTAATATTTTTATTCAGAATTAAAAATTTTTCAAATATCATGTTTAAAGTATTGGATATTTTCACAACTTCTGTCATATGTACAAAAGGTAAGAAAATAATATTTTTATTCAGAATTAAAAATTTCTCAAATGTCATGTTTAAAATATTGGATATTATCACACTAAGTTGCAAGGTTACAAAAACAGTGTTATTTCGTGAATTTTTTTTTTTTACTATTAATTTCTATGTTGCCATTTGCTGTGTTGATAGATTTGTTATGTGTACTATTTAAAGCTAATAAAATATTATTTCATTAAAAAAATAAAACGAAACTGTGGTTCCATTTGTTATAAGGGGGGAACTCATCTTTTTAAAATATTGTATGGAAGCCTGCTGAATTTTTTTAAAAAGGTTTACTTACTTGGTTTGAGGGATCATTAAATCTATGGATAGAAGGTGTGAAGATAATGAGCTAGAAACAAAGCATTCAAGTTTAAAAGACTTAATACATTTGGTAGATTATCCCCAGAACTGATGAAATTTGGTATGGACCACACGCACGCACGCACGCATGGAGAGAGAGAGAGAGGTTCTGGGAGGGAAAAGGTGAGTTTCGTGTGTTCTCCGTAGCATCCAAGATTATGTTCTCATAGGGTTTAGGTCTAGTGATCTGGCTGGCTAATCTGGTTTAGCTTTACGCAATAGACCCACTTTCCAGAAAATCGTCCATCACATTAACCTACGTGTACAAATCATCCATAAAAATGAATAAAGGAGCATCTGTACTTCTGGGTTATATACATATATATATATAAAGAGGCACACAGCTTTTAAGATCTCTTCCTTATACCTTACAGCAGCCATCAGAGTAGGCAGAAGTTACAGAGACATGAAGATCTGTGCACCCGTATAATGTGATCTTAATCCAAACCCTCAAATCACCACTGCCATATTGGTCCTGAGCCCATCAGGGCTGAATGGTATAAAGTCACTGAACACTGGTAGCTTGGCCAGGTTTCAGATTTTGGCAAATAGGCTGGTTGCATGGGAGTTCTGTCCTTCCTGAAGCCATCATCCGCATAGGCAGATAGCCTTCATGTTGCTTTGCCTTAATTATTTAATCCAGTGTAACCTAACCATATTGGTTCCTTTCTCATATGTTGTAGGACAGGTAGTGGGTTGTTGTTTATCACCAGTTGAAGGTGTGCTAAGAATCAGCATTTAGGGTGAATCTTGACTCATTTGCCACTAATAGTTGGTTTAGAGTCGATGTTTTTTCTTTCTTACTAAACAGATGTGAGAGCTGAAAAGCTGTTGCACTCCTGTTTTGCCTTGCTGAAATAGACAAATATTGAGCTCCTTTAGTTAACATGGCTCTTGGACAACCTTGCCCAGGCTCTCTGTCTACAGATCCAGTATTCATAAATTGTTTCCTTAAGTTGAACATTCTTTTCATTCAAGTCTCTAGTAATCTTTACTTGAGACTCCCTACTTCCAGTCACTCAACAATGCTTCACATCATTTGCTAATCCAGATGTTGGTAGTTAACTTATTTAAACTGTCTGCTTTGGAATTTCGGAATATGTTGTAAAAAACAGCATGAAAACATTTCGGAATATGTTTTAAAAAACCATGCAAATAAAGTGCAGAAAATGCTTCATATGCTTTTAGAGACCTTTCTGCTAAATACTCCTCTCATATGCATGTGTATGCTTTCATATGAAAACTAAACTAAAAATTTGCTTTTTTGTTTGGAAACATAATTTGTGCAAATTTTCTTAATTTTGAGCACTAAGATATAAAATTTTTAAGAATTTCAAAGGGTTAGCATGTATACATTTTTGTTCCATAATTTTCTTTCTTATTTTTAACTATTGAGATTATCTTCAACAGTTGTGTAGTGAACTTCTATATTAATAATCCTGATATAATAAATTCCCAAAAGAACAATTACTTATGTGTGCAGTGTATATAAGGAACATAATAAGTACTGGATAAGTAAGTTCAAATCTGTTACAGAAATTGATTTATTTAAATGCTATATTTATTTCCTTGCTTCAGTTAAATATGAAATTGAAAAACCAGTTATGTATGCAAAAAATATTGATCATTCTTAAAATGTGTGAAATGCAATCTTCAAAGATACACATTGTGTATTAAAAAAGGAAAGGTATGGCCATTAAAAAGCTTAGCTTGAGCATATTTCCGAAAAGGATGAAGCAACCTTTATTCATTTATTTAATTTATTCCTATTCATGTTAGTGCTCTAATATTTCATTTATATGGCACATAAGTTTGGTATTTTATTTACGAAATAAAATACCAAACTTATTTAGTCAAACAATTTCTCTAGGTGTAATTTTTTCCTCTCAGTAGCATATGTAAGCTGTAAATAGGGATATGAGAGGTTGAAGATTGAAGACATAAACTATAATTTGAGGATTTGAAATTCAATTCACGGATAGCAAAAAGTTTATTCATAGAAGATGCTTTATTTGTGTTTCACATAATAATTATATATTATAATTCATATATTCGTTCTTTGTGCTTGTTTTTAAATTAACTTGCTGCAATAAAAAATTTAAATATCTCAGCTGAATCAGTGAAAGACTGCTTCATATCAAAAGTGGATGGGATATCAGCTTATAGAATCTTTTACACTGATTAAAAAAAACAATCTCTTTCATCTCAGGCCTTCAATAGCCCAGTTATTAAAAATCATGTAATGAAATCAAAAAAGGTCAAGATTGCCTCACTACTTTATTTATGATAATGCTGATGAAATGGAAAATATAACAATATCTTTAGTCACAAGAAAATTTCAAAAGTCAGGATGTGTGAAAAGGGAATCTTATCTCTGTGATATAAAGCAAATAAAAAGGCATAGATGATTGCAAATATTTTTGTGAGAAGAAAATCAACAAAGAAGGCAAAACTGCATTTTGGGGCCTTTTTACTTTAAGCATTTTATAGTTTAGACTTTTTACATTTTAAAAAATTAAAAAATTTTAACTTTTTCTGAAATATAGAATGTACTTTAAGAAAACTGAAATAAGATGATAAAATTAAATTTGTATAATACCATAAGTGGGTTACAAGTCTTATAAACTGTGCATCTAAAATATATGTACAGTCAAAAGTCGTTAATTCGGACACCCATAATTCGGAATGATCTATAATCCGGGCCTCAAAGCTAAAAACTTTCTGCGCATGTGCCACGTTGGTGCACAGGCGTTTTACGCGTAAGACCTTGACTACTGCGCATATGCGTGTGCGCAAGTGCAGAATACGTTTTTGCCTGCGCGTTTAATGTTTAACGGCTGGTGTAAGCTAAAATGATCTAATTATCTATTTCGTTAATGTTAATGATTGCGTTGTCCTTAATCTTTGAATTGATCCCTTTATTTTTGCAGACTGTAAGAGCAATATTATAAAGTAAACTTGAACTTTCGATTATGTCAAATAGAATTTCGATGCTGGAACTTCCAAAGGATCTACAAACGAAAGTATGTTTTGATGTCAACAACAAAAAGTGGAATTGCTGCAAAAATGGTAAAGACATGAGAATGTGACAGAGAGGTTAGTGAAAACGAAAAAAATTTCGATGACAAGTTAGTGGTATTCTCGGACAGCAATTAACGGGACTTGAAAGCGAAACTTTGTAACTGAACAAGAAATTATGTTGTTTATAGAATTAAAGAAAGTATTATCACATGAAACAAAGCAACTTAAACAACTTACATTGAAAGAAATGTTTAATAAAGTAAACAAATAAATATTAAGCTCTTTTTCTTTTCTTTCTTTCTTTCTTTTTTTTTTTTTAAATTTTGATATCCTTTAGATCATATTGTTCTTTATTTCATAAATTACGGTTTCATATTTTTAATTTTAGAATTTCTGCATGCCATCTTACGAGATTTAAACTGATGATCTATAATCCGGAAAAATCGCTAATCCGGAATCGCCGAAGTCCCGACGAGTTCGGATTAACGACTTTTGACTGTATTAAAGTTTTGGTTTCATTTATGCTTCTCATTTATGTGTTTTTAAACAGTCCCTCGTAAAGACATAAAAATGGTGCTTTACTGTTTTTATAATGAACTGAGTGTGAAACTGGAATGCAATGATTACTGAACACATAGTTTAGAATACAGGTTTTCAAGAAGGGCAAATTCCTTGCTGGGGGGGGGTGGAGTCGGTCAGCCTTTTATTTACATGTTAAGAATTTAGCATTAGTTTTTTAATGCTATTTTTATTCAAGTGTTAATATTTATCAACATTTTGGGTATTTATGTAATTTATAAAATGCATTAAAATAATCTAAATTTAAATACATGTATATGTATTTTTAAAATTTGTGAAAGGAGAGGGGGAATGATCATCTAGCAGTGATTAAAGGGGTGCATGGGGCAAAAGAACGTTGAGAACCACTGGTTTAGAATCTTTCGTTACTGAAATAGAGATGGTGTTATTTGGTATTATTGAAAAATATTAGTGTTATTTGGGCTGTTTTTGTCATCAGATGTAATAAATAAATCATATTGTTACTGTTTTTTTTTTTTTTTTTTTTTTGGGGGGGGGCTGAGACTTATAAGTGATAGTAATGTGTATCATGTATATATCATACGTATTATTATAATGCAATTTTTTTCCCCTTTTGGTAATTGTCTGGCTAATAAAGTAATATATTATAATTTTTTAAAAATTTGATATGAAAGCAAGTGTTTCTCTCATTTCTTTGAAGTATTGCTTTTGCATGTTAAATATTTATCTTGTTGTAGGCAGCAACGGTGAGGGCCATTATTCAAGTGAACGAGATCAAGCAGAAGCTCTTATGCTGGCTTACAAACATTTTCCTGATAGTGTAACTTCCAATCCTCGAGAAAAAGAGTGCATGCTTGCTGAAGCTGCTAATATTCTTCAGCGATTAAGTGACAAAAATAAGCTGGAAAAGTGTCACAAAATGATGGTTGCAGCAGGAAGTGTTTTTATTGCTCAGTCATAACTTGGATGTGTTATTGTTATTTTGTAAATATTACTTGAACTGCTTGGAAAAAATATCAATATTTGATACATTTAAGCAAAAGTTTTCAATAAAGAAATTTAATATTTTCAAAAATAGCTTTTCAAAAAAACAATTTGTTTACTCATTAATGCTTGTTGATTTTCATGGATTTCATTATGCAACTCTCTTCTAGATTAATAGATTGACAACATTTTTATGCACTTGCACATTTTATTTTCAGTGCATTTAGCAATAGAAAGAAGGATACAGAAATCCTGTATGTTTGGCATTGTTGAGTCGAAGATAACACAAAATATTTGAATCTGTTAATCAAAGTGTACACTTTACTTTTAAATTCTGTATTGCTTTGGACTCTGAAACTATTATTGGTAGAAATGTAGATTTGTCTCATGTTATGTTTAAACATACTGAGTCTATGTATATAATTTAACTTTGTCTATACTTGTTTGTTAATTGCATATTTTAATGTTAGAAAGATATGGTATCTGTTGCATTTCATAGCATTTTTAATTTATTTAAGTGGACATTTTGATGCAACTGTGAACATAGCATGGTAAATGGTTCATTTTCATTCTTTGAGCATCTTTATCTATTGCTAAAATGAATAGAATCGTATGTATATTTGGTATGCATATTGCACTATAAATAAAAATGTTTCTTTAATTTTCTAATTTGTGTGAATTTATATTTCTAGAAATGTTATAAAATAGGATTTTATACACTGATTCACTGCTTTATTTACTTCTGATATGAGAAATGTTGTTCATCCAGCTGAATCTTTACCGTCGCCTTACAGTTTACATGACTCATAATTTGTGCTTAAAATAGAAAGTTCTACATGACAAGCAGTATTACTTTTTTGAGGGGAGAGTGAATTTCTATTCCTTGCACACACATTTGGGGAGGGGAGATGGTCCTGTGTTGGATCAACACAATGAATTGTAGGAGGAAAATGTTAAAGAAGATGCCTTCTTTTAAAATATAATAATGTGGTTGCTAAATGAATTAATTAAAATTTGAATGTCATTGAATGAAATTAAAAATGGAAATAATTGCATGCTAAGAATTAAGTTTTTTTTTTTTTAAAAAAAAATCTGTGATGCATTGTTTTTTAAGCGTATATCTATAACCCTGTCATTTCTAAATCATAATGTGATCTATTTTTCATTTTTGAAACTGAAATTTGAAAATGTTAAAGCAAATTTTAATATTAAAAAAAACTTCGGTATATCTTTAATTTAAAACATATCTAATAATGAATTAAAAGTTCTATTATTATTATTTTGAGGAGCAATTTATTTAAATAATGCATATCCTCACACTGTAACGTACTTCTCTCTAAGCAGAGGAGAAAGTGGCTAACCCAGGAAAGAAAAAAATTCCACTTCCTTGATGTATGAGTAATAATAGTTTCTCTCTGTTATATTGTTTTGTTATACTAAAGAGGTTATCACACTTAGCTACAGTCCCTGCTAGACGGGACTTTTCTGAGAAACGAGATTCTGGTAACACTGGTTTAAACTGGAGCATTGCTAGAAAAAAGAGCCCCGCCTGAAGCGAAGTCCTGCCTAGCCACATAAACGATGTTGCGGCTACATGGGATAATTTCAAACCTCACTGAAAATATCTCGGCTGCACCTCTGTCCCCGGTAGAGACAACCAATCAGACGAAAGTTCTGCTTCTGAAGCATCACGTGATCGTAATCTGAGTGGTAATCGATTAGTGTTTGCGTTCAAGTCTTTGTAGTAAGTAAAAATGGTAACCTAGCTACGTGGGTTTCCTAGAATTGTGCGGGTTCTGAGAATTGTCCGTTTCAACATCAAGTCCTGCGTAGCCAAAACATAATGTGATTGCGACCTAAGACATTGTCAAGGCATCACTTCTGCTGTAAAAGCTGCAATATGTATAGAAATTCTGATGTACCTGTTTAGCTTAAGACCATCGACATAGTTAAGAAAATTCATGGACTTGCGTTTTCTTAGTAAGTCTTTACACGTTTAATTTACAGAACTGCTTTCTCTTTATTTATTTATTTAAGTCCATGCATTTATTAAAACTGATTTGTTATACTTATTTAAACAATTTTGTATTATAATTACTGCTTATTTAGGCAGTTAACTGATTCTTGACAGTTTTTTAATCCCCCATTCATTTCTAAGAGTGAAATTAAATTATATCCACTATTAATTTAGCTACTTGCAAATCTGGAATATTTATTAAAATTTAATTTTGTGTAAAAAATAGGTTTAACTTTCCAACTTTGTTTACACAGGCAAAATTGTTTTAAATGCTATTTCATCTTATTTTCAAGTGTCAAATGTTAAACATCTCTATTGTGCAAATGTAGTACTTCATGTATACTTTGCAGGCTTGACACCAGGATAACAAACATCTCTTTTTTCCCCCTTTTTTTAAATGTTGTTTGAGTATTATGGAATTTCATGTAGCATGTTAATTTTTTTTAGCATCAACATATATAAATAAAATACTGTTATGACATTCTTTGGTTTTAAACAATAAATAATGTGAAGAAGGAAAATTATTGCATAAACCTGACAGGATATCATTTTAAGAATATTGGTATGTAAACGTTATAAGTGTTCATTCTTCATTAATATTTAGATGTAATTAATGCTTAAAAGGCTAACTTAAAAGTTAAATGCAGTTTAATTAACTGAAATTACTCATAAACAAGGTATTACTTGAGCTAGGCAAAAGTAATTATAAAATCTTGCAATGCTGAATTTTAGAAAATCATTATAAAAAGAAAAATAATAATTTAACAACTTTCAAATAAGTATGAAGTTCAAATAAGTTCATGAATGTATTATATTTAAAAATTCGTAGAATTTTGAAGTAGCAAGTAAATAAGTTATTATTTAGTTTGTTAGTAATCTTATTAGTCTATTCTATTTTTCCTTTGCTATATTCATTACTTAAATGTATGGGAAAAATTAAGAAACATGAAATATTTCATGAAGTGTATTATTTTTAAGAAAATGGCAGTTAATAGCAAAATTTTACAATTTATAAGGAAGGTTTATGTGTAGAAAAAGAGCATACAAAATATGTTATTTTAATCAATTACAGCTCAGGTCTTTTGGCCAGAACAAAAGCATATTTCAGATTCCAGATAACTGAACCACCTGGTGTTTTTTTAGTTTTTTTGGAAGCAATCTTAATGAATTCCTTCAAAGTATTTTCTCTCTTTTCTTCTGGGATGTATTGAAGCGGTTTACGAACAAGGCTCTGTAAACATGCTGTAAAGAAAATATATGTTATGAAGTTGCATTTTCTTTAATATTTTAATATACCACTATAAAAGATTCTTAAATATATACTATAGAGATCTGAATTCTGTTTTCTGAAAGAAACTGCGGAACACAGAATTTGAAGAATTTATTATTTATTTAAAAGACATTGTCTATATCAGTGGTCAGCAAACTCATTAGTCAGCAGAGCCAGTTATCAACAATTCAACAACTGAAATCTCCTTTGAGAGCCACATTTTTTAAACTTAAATTTTATAGGTAGGTATATTGTTATTCACTTAATTAGGGTTATCTTGTGCAGTCTTTTACTAATAATGTCTTCAATATCATCTACGTATGTTCAGTGAGGTCAACCCTCTTTCCAACTCTCCCATCCACACTTATCTTGTATACTCGTTTCATGTACATACACTGTGGAAAAAAAGGGACATTTCTATATCTCCCGTTCTACTGGGCCGATTTGAAATTTGGTGTATTTGTTGAACGCGGAATTTGGTATATTTGTCAAATGCGGTTTAGGCACTTTGTTAAAATTATTTGAAAGGCAAACGATGTGACTTCTAGCTCATGCACAATGTAAAATGGTGGGAACGATGCGACTTTTTTCCGGTCCTTTACAGTTTTAATTATTTATATCCATATTAAATGTTCACCAAGTGAATTATTCTTGGCAATAACTGAAAAAAAGGACGGCAAGATAAATTTGTGAATTTCTCCGCTGTGTAAAGTTTGATGGTCTTTGTGTTGTATTTTCAAGATTTTCTTGCTTAGGTGCATCTGCTATTTTATGGAGGAGCCTTAGAGACAACGAGCCACGGTTTGCCGACCCCTGGTCTTTATGATGATAAGAGAGCCTTTATAGAGGATCTGCGTAGCGAAATTGATTCATATTTACATTACAAATATGGAAACCCTACACCAGCAGTGCCCAACGTTGTGCTCGCCAGCCTGATTAGGTACTATGAACAAAACATATTTTAAAAATAACAATTTATTTATATTTCTTAATATATGGTAAACATTTATAATGATAAGAGATATCTTACAAGACTATATAAAATAATTGATTGCTGACTGATGATGGCGAACGTGGAACCTTATTGCTTCATTCCGGTGTTAAATGGCTCAGCAGGGAAAAAGTACTTCAACGATTTGTAGAATTTCTTTCGCCAATAAAGCACTTTTTAGAATTCGAAAACAAAAGTTATATAGAATTGGACGATAATAATTGATTATCCGATCTGTATTTTCTCACGGGTATAACAGTTAAACTGAATGAAGATCTCCAGGGAAAAGAAAAAAGCCCTTTTTCAATTGACTGGAACTGTAACTGCTTTTCAGACAAAGTTAAATTTGTGGATAAATCAGATGGAAGAAAACAATTTCACCCATTTTCAGAATTTAGCAAGCCATATTAATAATCACAAGGCAACTGAAACAGAGAAATACTCGGAAACTTAAATGCACTAAATTGTGAACTCCGCTTCTCTGATTTCCATAAAGTTCAACGAATATTATTATTCATCTCAAACCCATTTGCCGAAATTAATATTTTAGATGTATCACATAAGACTCAGGGTTCGTAGCGGTCCTTACAAGTGCTTATAAGTCCTTATATTTGAAAATTAAATATAAAGGCCCTTATAGGTGCTTACTTTTTCTTTAAAGCCCTTATTTTTTTGTTTTTAGTGCTTATTTTTTGCTTTTAGTGCATTTTTTTAATCCTTTGCTTTTAATGAACGCGCATTTTTTCCCCTGTACCTAAGCCGAAACTAAATAAACAACTTTTTTTTCCTTATAAAATGTAACGTCAGATGGTGAATCATATTCCCAGAAATTGCTTTTCCCCCCTTCCTCTGCATTAACGTAACCTATGGATGCGCACGAGAAGTACAGACAGGTGCACGTCGTTCTATTGGCCAAAGAATTGCGAAAAACGATAGAAAATTCTGGTACATTTCGGTATTCTTTTCCGTCCCACCCAAATACTACACACGTTTGAATTTCTATCAAGATTTTAATAAATTTGCATTCTCGTTCCGCGTGGTCAGTTCATATTCGTTGTTTATTTTATGATCCTTATGCTTATATTATGAGCATATTTATGAATATTTATAATAATATAATTGCAGTAACTGCTGAAGTATAGATAAACTTCCAAAAATGGGTGTGTTTTTACACAGATTAGCTTTCTAAGGAATAATATTCGGAATGGCTTAAATAAGAGGAAAGTAATCGAATAGTCAAAATAATTTCATTTTCTTTGCCAATACATTATGCAGTACTGAGGTTGGGAGTTTCTCCGCAAAATCTCTAATATTGAAGCAGCGGACTTTTTTTTTTTTTTGTCACTGTCCAATCTGGATTGAATAGGACTAAAAGTTTTTGCGGTCTACCCAAGCGAAGATTGATTCTATTCCGGAAATTTAATACAGTCTGTTGAAAGTTAGAATCAGAAACACCCCAGATTAGTAAGTCTTTCTTTTTCTTTATTTAGTTCTTCTTTCTCCGAATACCGACAGGTGTTGATTCCAATTGCGTAATATCACATATGGAAGAACTACGCCGCACGTATTGCGCAATAACGTTTGCGGTATTTTGTATTGATAATTAATTTTGATGTTATTGATAATTAATTTTGATGTTCAGTCTGAGATTTGTTTATGAACACTTAAAAGAGTTTTACTGTGCTTTCTAAGCAGAATATTTTCTCAGTTCCGTTGGTTTTTATATGATGCACATATCGAAATGTCAAAATCATTTATTTAGCCTAAATTTAAATCTAAAGAACGGCTACAATCTCCCCCCACTCCTCTTTTTCCGTTACTAACCGGAAAATTCGGGAATTTCCGAGTATGCTGGTTAGTTAAGCTTTTACTGTTAAAGGATGACTGAATGAAGCAATTTCCCGTCTTCTGATTTCAGAAATGTGCCTCTTTTTTACTTAAATTACTTTGCTTGGGATATATGTTAAGGGAAAACTGTTATGCAATGAAAATTTGGAAAATGTTCAGAATTTTGATTTAAGTTAAATTATTTAAATATTAATATGAGTGGAAAAATAAATTGTATTTATTATTAGTTGCCAAACGAATACAATTAATATAGCTTATTATTATTTATTTTCTATATTTTCAACTGAAATATCATCATTAAATTTTGTAATATATTTTAGTTTTGCATAGTTTTTTTTCTTCTCATTGTAAACTAATTCTGTAAATTGAACTGTCATTTAAAATTTAAAAAAAAAAAAAGTTAATTGTTTTCCATTGTTGAGGTAATGCTCATTCTCTTAATAAATATTGCATTGCTCATATTTTAAATTACAAGTCTAATTTTTCTTTTAAGGTTATGCAATTGTGTATAATGTAATTAGACAGGTGCTTATTTTTTCCTTAAAATGTGCTTGAAAAGTGCTTATAGGTGCTTATTTTTTTAACTAAAATGTGGCTATGAACCCTGGTGACTGGAAATACAGGGTGTTTCATAGATCATGGAGGGGTGGTGGAGCGTACTAAAACATGCATTTTTTTATAGGAATGTAGGGTCTAAAGTGACGGGATAAGGCAGGAACGGGAGGGGAAGACACAAGAGGAAAATGTGTTTATGTACAAAATCAACGCAAAGTGCTTCTTTGTAGCAATACAGTATTCACAATAAATGTTCAAAATTGCGATCACCAGCAGTAATACATGCTTGGTAACGTCGCAGAAGGGATTGACAAACATTTTGGAAAACGACAGGCATTTTACGCACGCTTGCAGCCGCAATGTATAGTCGTGCTACGAGGTCCTCCAGTGAGTCGACGGGAGTCTCGTAAATGATGCTCTTCAGATGGCCCCATAAAAAAAATCCAAGTTGGGTAAATATGGCGAACGGGGTGGCCATCGAACGTTTCCACCACGGCCAATCGATCGGCCCATTCAAGTAATTGCGGACCCGCACGTGGTTATGGGCTGGTGCACCTTCATGCTGGAACCACATGCGATCACGAACGACAGCCGGAATATCCTGCAGCAATTACGGTAGTACCCCTTGCAGAAAAATATGATAACATAAGCCATTTGCACGTGCAGGTAAGAGGTATGGGCCTATGAGTCGTTAAAAATATTCGCCCCCACAATTCACGGAGAAGCAGCTTTGGAATACATGTGGACGTCTGCCGTGTGGATTATGAGTTGCCCACAGTGCGTGTTGTGGCTATTGAAGATTCCGTCCTGTGAGAAAGTTGCCTCGTCCGTGAATAGCACGTCCGATGGGAAATCCGCTTGCGCCGCACACTGCTGCCAAAAACCAATGACAGAAATGAACTCGAAGATAGAATTTGATTCTTGCAAGGCTTGGACTCTCTGCAAATGGTATGGGTGCAAACCATTTTCATGCAATACTCTCCAAACGGTGGAATGACTCAGCTGCAGACGACGTGCAGTAGCTCTTGTACTTGTCTGAGGTGATTCATGCACAATGTTCAAGATGGATACTTCAATGCGAGGTTGTCGTGCACTTCTTCTTCCACTTCTAGGTTCAGAGATGGCTTCAAATAACCCGTTTTCACACAGAGACCGATGTAACCTCTCGAACATTGTGTGCTTCGGCATACACGCCTTTTCGGAAACCGTTCCTGGTACAACCGTAGCGCTGCTCTGCCGTTCCCATTAGCAGCACCATACATGAGATGCATGGCAGATTTTTCTCAGTGCGTAAACTCGCTCATCACGCTCGACATCAGAGTTGCGAATGATCCTTTAATGCATCGGATCGTGGTTTGTCCGGCTCACTACCGCCCTCTACCGCTGCACTGCCAGCCAATCACAGCTGTAGTTCCTATTACTGTTAGTGTTCCCTTTTAACATTTACTGTGAATACTGTATTGCTGCAAAGAAGCACTTTGCGTTGATTTTGTACATAAACACATATTCCTCTGGTGTCCTTTTTTTTTTTTTTTTTCGTTCCTGCCTTAACTCGTCACTTTAGACCCGTGTTTCCCA